CGCTTCTGAAGAAACAGAGGTTTCACGATAAATTTGTTTTGAACACTGGACAATAATTTGATGGACCTCCGAGCGAACAAATAATAATGAATTAACATAAAATGTGCAGGTACTGCTGAGACAATATAAATAATGGAATTTTACCAATCGCACGCTGTTTTTCAGCTTCTAGAAATTCAAATACTCCACGACAAATACGTTTCAGTCTTTCGACAATTGTTCAATGGATTTCTGATCGAAGAAAAAATAAATCAACAAAGTTAGGTGGATGTATCACGGTGAAAATGGATTATTTCTATCATTCAGCCTTTAAGCGTAGTTTTTTTTTGCTTATGGAAAATGAAATGTTTCATAAACAACGTCATATTTGACATTAACGTTAAGAAAAGAGCATAAAAGATCATTAAATTGATGCGCTGTTGCCAAATATGCTAAATTTCTGCAGAAACCAGGATATCCTAGAAAAATGTATATATATGCTATAAAAAAAGATTTTTTGCATTTTTTTCACACCAGATGCACTTCGACAATTACTCGACAATTATCTATAACAACTGTGATTCCATTGGATGTTTATTTTCCAGTGGCACTGCTAGCTTAATATTAAGTTAGCACAGCCACCCCGTATAAAAAAAACTATAAGCGCGACAATTTTTTTTCTTTCACGACAAATTCCCGACAATTATCCGACAATCATTGGAATAGGTTTCATCAATTTTTCAGCAGGTGGCTCTGCTAACTTTATGGGGTTGATTTACCCTGGTAGGTACATAGTTAAATAGGTAAATGCAGGTAAATGACATACAAATGATCTACCTACTGAATAGTGAGTAAGTAGGTAGGTAGTTTTATCCAAATTCCAAAGTGAAAAACCATGAACTAATTTTATGCCTAGTTCTTCAATTTTCAATGCCAAAAAGCTTGAGAAGAAGGTACATACATACCTTGGTGGATGGATAAATACAACAAACATTATACCACTATAACCTCATTTCGCCTTGATTATACCTAACACTAGAAGTTTCCTAATAAAGACCGAGGGATAAATCACGTGGGAAGTCCAGTGTACCCTCGAGTGTACCCAAGACGGGAATTCCTTGGAAAGTCCGGGTATTCTTTGGGAATTCCAGGAATTCATTAGGTAGTCCGGGTATTCTTTGGGAAGCCCAAAAATTCTTTGGGAAGTCTGGGAATTCTTCGGGAGGTCTGGGAATCCTTTGGGAAGTCCGAGAATTCCTTGGGAAGTCCAAGAGTTCCTTGGAAAGTCCGAGAATTCCTTGAAAAGTTCGGGAATTCTTGGGATAGTCCAGGTAGTCTTTGGGAATTCCGGATATTCTTTAGGAAGTCCGGGAATTCTTTGGGTAGTCCCATGAATTCCTTGGATAGTCCCAGGAATTCCGGGATTTCTTCCGATAAAGGAAGTCTAGTGTACCCAAAATTGGCCCGTGATTTACCTCTCGTGAAAGACTATCTATTTATTTATCTTTACTCAATGTCACTTAGGTATAGGTAGGTATACAGTCAGAAGGAATAACCGGGTATCCGAGGGTATAAAATTCGAAAAAGAATAAAATGATGCTGTGCTTCAAGCGAGGCTTCAAGCAAGGCACTCTAGTATCTAGTAGTATGTACAATGTAGGTGCACAACCCGAACAGCGATACTGCTAGTACAAGTAGCTAGGCCTCAGGTAGATAGGTATAAGTTACCCCTCCATATCACTTCTGATTTACCTGTCTTCCTCTCTTTTACGCTGACCTACCTATCAATCCTATCATAATCAGGTACAGTCGTATTCAATAAAAATGCGTACAAGTATTGAACATAGAAGGTTCGGCATCCTAGTTATCGTTGTGTAAAATTGGCTCAGCCAATGCTTTGTGTTTTCAAGAACCTATGATTAGTCTACTGACAAAATTTTTGCTAAACATTCATTCCTGATAGCCCGTTTTAGGCAAATAGGATTTCTCCCTCCAATATACTTGTATGCTTTTTTTTAATACGACTGTACCTACTGAAAATTTTCATTGAAATGAAGGACTCTTCAATGTTCAAACCTCGGTTCAGACCGAGCTGGGTTGCATTTCTCAAGATATTTTTCATACCTAGGTAGGTATAGCAAATAATTGAAGTCCTGTGGTTTAACCTCATATTTAATTGAAAGTAAGGATTCAAGGTCAAAATTTTTCAAATTGAAAATTCGATTTCTTTTAGTGCATATCAGGAAGGAGGTCAAGAAACTTAGACAACAATCTTGTACAGAAAAAATGCGGCGCGGGCGAAATTTTTGTTGAGACTCAAGGTCAAATGCCCCAAAATTGAAAATTATTTCTTCCGAACTGAAAACTCCCATCATATTATAATATTATAAATTATTCAGTTAAATGTTCTCAATTTGTAACAATTGATACAAAATTATCTGAAAACTGGAACAATAAGTAAAACAAGAAAATAATTTTTTTGACCTCGGATTGAAATTAATTTTTTCTTAGTTGAATGTTGGTCATCATTTTCAGTTTTAATTTTAGTTTTAACTTTTTAGTTCCTAACATGAACATCTACATTATATTGCATAGTGTGATATTATTGGTTTTAGTTTCATTTAAGTTTTAAATTTTGCTTGCATGACCTTCGACTATGTTTCCAATCTTATTAATTGCAAACTCGCTGATAAAGTGTTCATTTCGTCCTCAAATAGGTCCCTACCAGCTCAGGCCACAAATTTAGTGTTTCTAATTATATCTAGGTAGGAAAGGTACCTATCAAAATACAAATACCTACCCAGATGACCTACTCACTATCTAACAGGAATTGGAACAAGTGAGTAGGTATAATAGAAAAAGTACAAAAAATAGATAAGATTTTATAGAAAATATTTTACCAGTCATTTTCAAGCAATCAGATGCTTTATTTTGACATTGTTAGTAGGTAGGTAGATAACCAGCAATTTTCATACACATGAGCATGTAGACGTAAAATTATTAAGTGGAAATTTTCTGGCACATAGCAGCTATCATTTAATCAGAAAATATTGAATTAACATTGAAAATATTGTTCATTTCCTGGAAACCTAGAAAAAATTATAGGTCTGTATGAAATCATATTTTTTATATACCTACCTAATAATATCTGATGCTATAATAGTTATTTATTATACAAGGGGAAAAAGTAGTAGATTTTAGCTCCAGGTTGTGTTGTCTCCCGACGCGTAGCGGAGGGAGACAAAAAACCGTGAGCTAAAATCTAATATTTTTCCCGTGTATAATACACTATTTTTTTCTGTGACAGAAGGAAGGACGAATCAATATTGAGAAGATATTACATTATTTCGAAATCTAAAAATTATCGACGTGAAATTTCAAGTTTTTAACAGTAGGGACACCTGCGTTTTATAGACATCTTTATCATTCTTTTGAAGTAATCAAATATCTGATGTCACTTCTGTCAGTTCAATTCTGTGATTCGATTTTGAAAAATTGCGAATTCAGTAGTTGTTTAGTAATATACGAAACCGCGAAGTCGAATGGAAGATAAAAGGACTTGCAGTTCTTTCTCGGAGACGGTATTATTGACTCATTTTTCGGAACTATATCACAACAAAAGCCATTAACAGAGTATATATATGTGATATATATCCGGGAAAGAAGTACTCACTTTTTTCCCACGGGAAAAAAGTAATTTATGAAAAGTGACATTTTATAACCTGCCAACAGAGATGAAATGCCAAACTTTTTTCCCGTCACAGAAAAAATGTCATTTTACTAGGGTACAGGGAGAGTAAATATTTACTTGAAGTTTTCTTTTTAAATATAATAATAATATAAAAAACAAAAGTGCGTAAAATGTCGATCAACACATTGCGGGTAGACAAGAAGTCCATGGTTTCGCAGCGAAAAACAGAGAACAGGTGACTGGACTATCAAGGAAAAAATACATTTTCATGCAGTTCTCAAGGTCGATGTACACAAGGGACAAGTCAAACAGGCTCAGAAAACATGAGCCTGCGATCTAGATACTATGCACGGTCGAGAAACATTCAAGAATCGAGACCGTTACGTCCACGACCTGGCAACATTGTACCGGACTTGCGTTCGTTCACACGAGATTATAGAACACCCGCAATGTTCTTTACGGATTTTTATAGGTAGGTAGGTATATGTTAGATGGACAATTTACTTGCAATAGATTAAAGAAAACAAATTCCTAGTGACTAAGTAAGCAATGATTCAAATATCAATTTGACAGCTTTTGACAATACCCAGTTCTTATCTTCAACAGTCTTACTACGTTTGTAAGCAGGTAAACAAAAAAGTAGAAGATATGAAATACTATACTCAAACTAAAGTACAATAAACTACCTATTTATAGGATGATGGGTAGTTTTAGTTATGCATGAGCTTACAACTTGTACACTGTTTCCTGATGGTAGAAGAACTAACTTGGTAGTAGTTTGTAGTTATAAGAGCACACTTGATTATAAATATTTTTGAAAGTGGTACACAAACAGATCACTGATAAAGTGAAGATAATACTTGCCGCAAAAAATACACAACTTAAAAATAAACTCGTTGGTTGACATAGATTTGAGAGAACAAGATATTATACATATACCTGGATATACGTCGTACATATTAATTTGATTGCAAGTTAACTTACCAAGGCAAAGAAATTAGTGTGGCAGTCTTCTAAACTAGCTCCGTTAGTTTGAAAGTTTGGATGCGTCATATTTGATCCATTATTAAAGGGTTTTCTTCACAACACATTCAAGCAACACTGCACGTCACTTAAATCTTAAAATCACGCTTGAATACCTTACATTTACCGAGATTTTCACCTTTCTATCGCAACTGCAAAATGGCGGAGACCACGAAACAACAAGCCGAACTAAAATCAGCTCGGTTAGAAAACCAAGACAGATTCTCGACAAACGAGTCGCGACATACGTGCTTTGCGCTATTCCGACGAATTTCCGAATGCAAGGTGCTGTGTAAAATTTGATCTCATGTCTTAGCTTACGTCAGTAGTGTATCCAGTCGAAAAATATGGCGGCGTTGCTAAGGCATGGCGTTTTCAAAACAGGGCAACTAGTATCTTCAGAAAACGTAAATATATTCAGTCAATTTCCTTCAAAAATTCTTACAAGCACTAACAGACGAATCACTTTCCACCCTAAATCGCACTTAGTCCAGTCATCGTGCAAAACACTGTTTTATAACGTTCTCTTTTCACTTGTTTGACATCACATTTTTTTACCATTTCAGGTCCTTTTAAGATCGTACGCCACGAAAGCCGAGAAGAAAAAAGGGATCGACAGGAAAGTTGGCCCAAAAATAGATCCTACAGCTCAATCTTTGGCAGCTAAAGGGTGTGTACTTCGATTTAGAACAGCCTGAAGTGCGTCTGTCTCTTGATGGGAGCCATTGCTATTGCTTTCGCTAAGTTGACTGTATTCACCCGTAAGGGGGCGACACCATCCAGAGTCAATAAATAAGATATTGCGCATAGATAGGAGAAACTCTCGGAATGTATTTAGTCAATTCAGGGTTTTGAAATTCCAATAGTTTTTACTAGGTACCTATATTATTTCTCTAGAAGATAAAAGAAATATGTAGATAACATATTTACATACCGCACTCCAATAACCGTCGAATAATAGGTACTTTCTTCAGGGTAGGTGGAGTAACCTACCTATACCCTTGCATACATCCATCATAGACATCAGACGTTTGAAAAAAGTATTATAAAAACGGTCAAATATCAAATATTCATTTCCGAAGCCTATAATATTTTTTGAAAAATTATACAAGGTGATTATATAAACATCATCAATTCAAGGATTACTCGGCCAATGTTGCCATATTTTCCGATTTTCTGAAATAACAACATGATCTAAACTGCCCCAGATTTGAAGTGAGACAAGCAAAAATTTCAATTATGTTCGAACCTTCATAAGTTTGGATTGGTTCAACCAATTTTCAATTTCTTTCAAGAATAGAATAGCTCATTTCATTGGGTACAACGTCAGTACAGACATACAGGGTGATACCTGAAAATGTGATGATTTTCGAAAAGTTTGAGATCGCCCCGTTTGGCAGAGATTTTTTTTTATGATTCATTGAGGACGATAAGATGAAGCATAATGAGTTCCTACATGAGTTCTCTCGAAATTGTTTTTATTTCAGGAGGATTCATACAGGATGTTTTGATAAATAATGGAATAATTTGCATATATATTGCATTCTGATATGATGAAGCAACATAAACTCAACTTCGACAGAATTTTAGATTAGCTCATCTTGCTCAACGCTAACATACAATGTTGTTGTTCATTTTCTGGGTTTTCTTCAAACTTTCTGGACGAACCATCGTTTCCAGAGTTCCGAAGGTATGAGATTCAAATTTGACAGGGGTGTGGGATTCGAGAATTGGTCAATTTTGCAATATTCCATACTCTCCCATAATCATAACTTCAGGTTTGACCAGATACGACCCCAACTTTTAATTTTCAAATGCGGATTATGGATCATCATAACGAATTGAACAATATTGGATTTGATAGGGTTATTTCGAATGATTACGAAGATATTCGCGTTCGAAATTTCCATATGCCCAATGAGTGTGACGGCGCACTATCGAAATTTCTTTCTCTGTCACACTCATTGAGTACCTATATGGAAACTTCTAACGCGATTATCTTCATAATCGTTTCAAATAAGCTTTTTGAACCTGGTATCATTGAATTTGTTATGATAATCCCTAACTGATTACTGAATAAAACACAGGGTGTTCCATTGAAAATCAAAACTCTGGGTCATTTCTGGTGAAACCGGAAGTGATGGGAGAGTATGAAATATCGAAAAATCTTACAACTCTTGAATCCAACACCCCTGCCCAGTTAGAATATGATACTTTGGGAACACTGGATACTTATGGCGTTGACACCCGGTAGAATGTAAAAATTAACGAAAATATACTACCAAAAAAATGCAGATAATAGTAGATAACGCTCCGCCTCGCAAATGCAAAATTCGCTTGTCAAACAAAGTGTCACTTTCGATCCGAATGAAACATGCTATTTTTTTGCAACCGAAAGTTTTAACTCAAATAAATATGTGAAGTAACCACCAATGCCGTGCCATATGTATGCAGTGCAACAAATATTGACAAATAATCCGTGTGGTGAGAATATTCTACCTGCATTAAGAGTAGGTTTATTCAATTTTCAAGGATGTTCGAATCGTAATTTCAATATAAATACAATCACAGAGAGAGATATTTGTGTATGGACTAGATGCTCTATGGCTCGCTCTATGGCAACTAAAGCGCCAGTGCCAGGTATAGTAACAAGACGTGGAAACTGTTAGGTTAGTGAGCTATCAACAATAATAATAGATATTATTTATTTCTCAGATTTCTCTCCATACTCCACTGTGTTTGGCTTGATAATCAAATGTAGGTAAACAATATCGTTGTTTGAGACAAGAAACTATTGTGGCCGTGATTATTCAAAAACAAGTCATCCATCCCGAGAATAACGAATTAAATACAGATCAAGCAAGTATTTGAATCTTGAAGGTTTCCCTGATCATAACAAAAATACTTAACTGAGATGTTTATATCAATACTTAACTATAATAAGGTGTATTTATATCTCCAGCATGGGTATGAAATGCCAAATCTGCCGAAATCGGAAACAAATCAGGTATCCCTAACAACACAGGAATGTCCTAGGTACGTCCCTTTTTTGCCCCGCGGTACAAGGACATGATTGGGACATCCCCTGCAGTGGTTGTCCAGTGGACATCCCCCCCGGTACATCCTTAGGTTATCCTATTCGTGTCCCTGGAGTATCTGATATATCCATTCACATCAGAGTCATTGATTTTCATCAAACTATTGAGTTGAATTTTTTTGAAAATGTCTGTTTCTCTTCCGGAAAATGATTGTAATGAAGATAAAGAATAAAGTCTCAGAACTTTCGCAGACAGAAATCGTACATGCATAATGCCCCTGATTTTTAAACACCCAAGAATGATAATAATTATACCCAATTCCTAATAAAGTTGTATTTATTCAGGTTTCTGTAGTTAAGTCCTGTTTTAAATCTGTTTAGTACATAAATCTTCAGGAGGCATGATAGCCAATGGAGCAAGGTGCGTGCATGATAAGCCAAAGGTCCCGGGTTCAATCCCTACTCGACCTGCAACTTTTTTTCTTTTGTCGAAAGGATGTCCCTGGGATATCCTTGGGACGTCCTAGGGATATCCTTCCATCGTACTTGGTACATCCCAGGGTCGTACCAGAAGGACATCCCTTGGATGCCTTTTTTAGCGGCCAGCGGATGTCCCTGGGACATCCCTAGTATGTACGTTATCCCGACAAAGGACATCCCTGGGATGTCCTAGTATAAAATCAGGGACGTCCATGGGAAGTCCCTAGGATGTACTGGTGTTGTTAGGGATACGTCTCAACCCAAATAACCAACCGTAACAATGTTGTTTAATTTTGATGACGTCCAGTACATCCTTTTTAGTTCCTAGGAACAGAAGTTCAACTTTAGCTCCTAGGAACTAAAGTTCAACTTCAGCTCCTAGGAACTAAATATGTTGCCTAGCAACATACCTATTTTGTGTCAGTAATAGAAACGTCAATTCAAGAGCTAATTTTAGCATCAAAATGGACGACTTTTGTGTCCGTTGCAGAAAAAAATTATTGATACAAATATTTTTAATAGGCATTAGGAATCAACATTGTAAGAGTAGACTGTATATAGATTGAATGTATGATTGTGATATATTAGAAAGGTAATTTCATTCTGAATCGTGATTTTGAGGAAAAAAAAATACCTTGTATTTGAAATAAAAAAATTTGATGCAGTTTCGGTCAAACCTCAAGTGTCATATTTGGTCTGATACCAGCGAACTCATACACTCATGAAATCAAATCGATATAAGTACCACATTTTTTGAAACATCGATACAATAAAAAATAGCAAGTCGTCTGAGTCATGAAACAGGTATGACAGAAATTCGGTAGTCAATCGGAGAATCGCATGATTTCCCTTGTTCATCGTTAATTATTATATACAATGCACTTGGGGTAATGAATTTGAGGAAATTATCAGAGTTCAGTTCAGAATGTGCTCGAAATGGTTGCCTTCAACTCCTTGACATAAGAACATCCTATCAGATATTTCACGCTGAACACTTTTGGGCACAGTTACGTCAATATTTCTACAAATATTTATCATTCTCTGTCGTATATCCAACATTTAAGCAGATGCAGTTTCGTACACATTTTGCTTCAAATAGTCCCATAATAGAAGGTCTAAAGGTGTCAAATCTGGCGAGCGGGCTGACCATTCCGTAGGACCTCGACGCCAATCCAACGACCAGGAAAAGTATCATCCAAATGTTTCTAACTTGTCTATAGTGATGTGGTGGTGCTCCATCTTGTTGAAATACAATATCAATATTGTGTTTGTATTCAGGCATCTTTCAAATGTTCCGTCATTTTGTAGTAGGTGAAGATATCGACTTTATATTCTAGGTTAATGAAGTATTCGTCAGGAGCTTCAAGAAGATGTATCACAAGACCCCCTTTCCATTTCATTTTTCCCCAGATGGCGCCAAGGCACCATATTGAAATTTTCATCTGTCAATTTTACTCCTAGATATAGTATTCATGCGTCAATTTCATTACCTAAAGTTTCAATTTTTTTCGTTGACTCATTCAAAAAATTAAAGGGAGGGGCATTATAGAAAATCACTGTATATCTGTTGTGATAATGATAATTATTGATGAAATATTCCTATTTGAAAGTTCCGTGCACACATCATTCCAAGAAAGGTTTAGTAGCTTAATTGGTATAAGTTCGATTTGTAACCGGAGGACCGTTGTTCGAATCCCGTAGCGGTCATCTTTTTTTATTTGAATGAATCGGCAGATATCTACTGGACCTAATGACGGCCAGAGTCTCCTATTGGCCTGATAATGTTTACAGGAATTTTTCCGTTAAGGCCAATTCTGGCCAGCAATGGCCAGCATGAAGGCAGACCAAAAGTGTTTGCTAGGGCAATATAGGTACTTACATATTCCGCTTATTTGCTAACACAATAGCTTTCTCATTCAGGTTTAATGAAAATATAGAACTCACTATTTAACCTGCGAAAACTAGGAAGCAACTTTTTGCTAGCAAAACAGCAAAACATGTGGTTTCTATAATTTCTTGTTAGTATTCAACAGATGTGGTTCAATTGGCTGCTTTGGCATTTATAGGAGGCAAAGTACCTATTTGTTTTCAGTTTGATTCATATGAGATTGATGTATTCAAAACCATAGATTTTAATTAAATATCAGTTTTCTGTCATAGGACTTTGAAATAAAAAACTTTGTATCCAAATCTCATCAAAGATGATTATCCATAGATGAAGAAACCCAAAGTCATCTTCATCTCCACAACATTTATCTATATATCCTATGTCATTGTTGGTTATTCTAGAACTAAGATCCTGTATTCGGCTGATGATGGGCTTACATAAGCTCGAAACATGTACCCCTATGTGATCGATCTGTGACCGTCAAATAAATGTTGTGGTGATGAATTTGGGTTCATCTATGAACTATACCATTCCACTTTGAGTTATCATGGACTTCCTCCAAAGATTAAAGATGATTATATTCAGCTTCAAAAACAGAAACTCCCTTCCAATTCTAATGAAAAAGTATAAATAGAAACATCTTTGTAACCACTTGTGATATTTAAATAATATATCATTTCAGTTTCCTTCGTGCACAAAATCCATATATGCCACCGCCAGATGTAGAGTCCCAACTAGAAAGCATTTTCCAATCCGTCATAGGCTCCACTGATAAAACTATACGACTCTCCGATCTAAACCAAAAGCACAATCTACTGTGTGCGTGCCTCGATAGATTGGGCCATGGGGTACCGAATTCATTGCTTCATCATATGGAGACCCTAGAAGATGTCAAGATTTTTTATAAGACCCCTGTAGACACCACAACGCCGTTGGAGAAATTGAGACACACAGAGTTACCTGAGAATATGCATATTCAGTTTGAATATAACAGGTTTCATCCAGGTATATAATTATCACTGTCATTTTTACAATTAAATGTAAAAAACTTCACAAAGGATAAGTTTTTCTCAAAATTTCTTATTAACATATGTTTCGGTCACACAGTAGCTTCATCAAGTGAAATACTCGTGCAAATAAACTAAACTTACGTTGACTTGCTTAACTTTTTATATCATACTTTCCAAACCTAACGGATTAAAATTACCTGTGGAAAACTTGTTCAAGTCGTTATTTTCGGAAAGTACGGTCAATAATCTGCATTAATTTAGGTGTACATACCTAAGAACCCACTGAAAAAACAAATTCAACAGAGCTGAATTGAGGTCTAGTTGATCGTTAACCCGCGAGGGACCGCGCGGGGTAGAAAATACCCCCAGGCGATATCAAATTACTTTTTTTTTGCTTAATCTGCACGGCACTGAAAAATCACGCCAGCTCAGTGGCTAAATATGATCAATTAACAAGTCTTTGCATGTGTTTCGTCATTAGCTCTGCACACATCGTAGTTATTTGGTGAATTGTTCCTGGGGTATATCCTTACCCCACGCGGGAGAGAATTAAAATCTTCCATGTCTGAATTCGTGTAAGTAAAAATGGAAATTCAACCTCAAAACGAGCAGCCTGCGATGGTAGTCAAATTTTCATATTATCCAGGAGAAAAAAAAACAGGAACAATTGAAAAAAGGGACGTGCGTATATTATTTATGCGTTCATTGAAATTCATTATTCAAAACAAGTATATAAATCAAATTAAGTTCGTTCTTTATTATTGCTGTTTGTTTGTTTTATTATTGTTATAAATAATGCAATTCCACATCGGACAAAGGTTTTTTTCGTCTCAAAGTCCTCAAATTCAATCAAAACCAATGGGGTAGCAGGTTACTACCCCACGCGGTCCACGTTTAAGTTTCTATCGGCGCGGTCCCTCGCGGGTTAAGTAAATTATATGAGTCTTTGCGTTTGTTGATTTCTAATGATTCCAAATGATTGAGTGTTATTCCTTCATTTTGTACGTGTAAAATTTCGAAATTCTATCAAAACTATGGTTTCTTCTTATATATATGATTCCTGTAAGTTTGTATAATTCGAAAAATCAGGGGTATATACGAACGTATCTGTCGTTGATCTTGTCCTAAGGTATATGTATATATACAGTATGATGCAAATGTATGGAATAAATTCATTATTTCAGAAATGGGCGACATTTGAAAAAATTCCAAAAACACGTGAGTTTAAATTTCTGAAACCTCATCCCATGATATTCATATGAGAGATGTTATGTCACCGGTGTTGGAGTAATGACGTAATGGACGATTTTTTCAAATACAAATAGGGGTCATGTGACACCTTGATTGAAAGGTCTACTGACCGTCTATTCAACAGTCAAAATGTTGCATAAGAAGATTGAAATTAAAATGGATTATCATGTGATCAACTGAATCTTGCAGAGGTCTGCTACTGAGAATTGAACATCGAAGGGTCGTCTAGTTAAAAAAATACGTCGAAAAAAAGTTCTAAACCCTTATTTTTTTTTTTTTTCGAAAGTCGTCTCGTTTTGAAATGAATTTATTCCATACATTTGCATCATACTGTATATAGGTCAGACAAGCAAGTCAATGTAAGTTTCGTTTATTGTACAACTATTTTATTTGAAGAAGCTACTGCATGTAGAACCTAGCGAAACAGAATTTTTGTGGAAATCTTATCCTTCGTGAAGTTTTTTACATTCACTATGGATTTCCGTAAATGGTCGAGTCAATTCAAAACATTTACAATTAGTTGGCTTAATGTCCTATTTTACTTGAAGTTTTGAGACCAAATACAGCAAACATTTCAACATATAGAGTATAGACTGCTTTCACCATGCAAAAGTTTTAACCAAAGTTGAACAAAACTCGACTGGTGACCTTTATATTTGGACTATATAACTATGTTTTCGTTTTCAGAAACTGATACTGCCTTTGGAGGAGTTAGTGCTTACCCTGAGAGTTCTACGATTGTGACTGGTCTCAAATATAAAGAAAAATATACTGGGCATGTTGCTCCAAGCAATTAACTGAAATTAATTTGTGTTTCATTGTTATGTAATAATTCGAGCAAGTATAATATAAAAAATAAAAACGGTTAAATTTGTAATTACAAACTTATGAGGTCTGATTTCTCATTTCATGATCATATATATATACAGGGTGTTTCATGAGAAGACTCACATAGCCAAATGGTTAATAGGGGAAATCAAGACGAGTTGATGTATATTTATAAAAACATTTTTTGACCCTCCATAACGAAGATACAGGGTGAAATTGCTATATAACTTTGATGGTCGATATTACAGAAATGAATCGTCGTAATCTCCTGAAATTTGGCAGCGACGTATCTCTACTGAAACTATTCAAGATAACATATCATGAAAAAAAATATCCAGGTCCGTACTTGGGAAAATTTTGTGTTTCATTGTTATGTCAAAAAAGTTCACTTTGTGACCACTTTTCTCGAAAAATTCCATCAGATTCAGAAAGATCAGACAAAATGCTATGAGAACTGCTCTTCAATTTACACGGCACACTTTGACCGGTTCAAAATCGTTCGAATGAATTTTAAATTTTGACCTGGCTGATAACTGTCAACTTTCAACTGGTATCATGTGAATTGATTTTTATTACATTTTTGTTGAAAAGTAATTGACAGAAAGATAGACCAAAAGGAAAAACACGATATTTTTTATCGAAATTCCAGATAATTATTATTATTCCTGAATTTGTTTTATGGCTGTCGCTTGAAGTGAGATATCTAGTAGGTCCTGTTCATTTCTGTGACGAGACGTGACGTTTGTTCATAATCCGAACTGATAGGCCAGTACTAGGCTAGTACTAGGCTAGTACTAGGTAGGTACCAACTGATGACATTACGACATGAGGATTCATGTGCCCATATTATGATGATTTATCAAATTAGTTATGACGTCACGCATAAACTCAGCTCCATTTTTTTTATTGATACACTTCTGCAAGTGATATAAGGATGCATTATTTGCTATTTATTCAAAATTCCTAATGTTCATCCTCGTGAAGATTTCACTGCAACGTATTCTTGGGTCTGGAAATATCCTATGGTTTTAAACATAGCATGGCATTTGGCAATGAAAATGTACAAAAAAATAAATTTACACGAATCCAGTTGAAAGTTGAGAGTTATCAGCCAGGTCTAAATTGGAAATTCATTCGAACGTTTTTGTTCCATATTTTTTTATTGAATCGGTCAAAGTGTGCCGTGCAAATTGAGGAACAGATCTTATAGCATTTTGTCTGATCTTTCTGAATCTGATGGAATTTTTCGAGAAAAGTGGTCACAAAGTGAACTTTTTTGACATAACAATGAAACATAAAAATTTCCCAAGTACGGACCTGGATATTTTTATTCATAATATGTTATCTTGAATAGTTTCAGTAGAGAAACGTCGCTGCCAAATTTCAGCAGATTACGACGAATACTTTCTGTAATATCGACCATCAAAGTCATATAGCAATTTCACATAAAACCCTGTATCTTCGTTATGGAGGGTCAAAAAATGTTCTCATTATTGTACATCAACTCGTATTGATTTCCCCTATTAACCATTTGGTTATGTGAGTCTCCTCATGAAACACCCTGTATATCAATATGGGTTGCTAATAAGAGAGAAAGGTTTTCCTACAGACATATAATTATCACTAATTATTCTGAATTATCTCTGGTTCCTCTGGTGTAATAGATCTGAGAATAGAATTTGGCGCCCAACGAAATTACATTTTGATGTTAAAAATCAAAAGGACTACATGGGACTACCTACACTTGATGACCTACACAACACTGCCTCTGCCTCAAGAAAAACTAGAAGAAGAATACTCAATACTTTCTATTCTGTTCACGACTGTTCTAGTTCCGTACATTACCGTCATAGAGCGGACACTTGACAAGAAGTTTTGTGATTCTCAGAGTTCATATTCGTGATGTGAAATAAGCGTATGCTACCGCTAGGGTCCCGTGATCCTGCTCAAAAATGACTTTTTATTTAAGGGAGGCGAAAAAATCATATGTATAACATGGGGGTAAAGTATATTCTATTCTTCATTTTCCTGCAATTTAACGTATTACTTTTTATAAGCCTACTTTTCGTCCTAGAATTAGTCACTCCATAAATTTTTCTCCGAGTTGGATTTCCGAAAATATATTTAGCACACATGACATGAGTACAGTAGTTCAGATACCCACATCGAGGTTTTCACTATATCTCAATCATAAGGTTCAGCTCATTCAGCTCATAGTTAAACTACTGCTCAGCTTGAAATCAGAATTATTCATTCAGTCAATTCAGTCAACCCTGGTATACAGTCTAAGAACAGTTTCTTTTTGTGAAATATATTAAGCTTTTAGTACAAATTATAAGTTCCCTACCTCGCAAAGATTATGCTGGTGTAGTAAACTCTAAAACTAGAGGATTGTTCAACTATATCTTGGTATAGTTGTATCAGGAATTCCATATGGAAATTACGTATGATACGCCAATGACCTCAATATAACCTAAAAAACAACAAATGTCAAAAATCTAATAGGTATTTTGAGCCGATACCACTCGATACATCTAGAAATCTCAGAGTAGCTACTCCTTTGATTTATTTCCACTACGTGTGACCAATATTTTTAAAACAAAAATTGTTTCCCTGTATGTCACTGTGGTAAATTATTTCTTGGTAATAGAAAGGGTTCGATCTCTTCACTACATATTGTATGTGAAGTTCTTCCATAATCACGAAATTTTTGGAAAAAACATATTTTCAGCCTATGTAAAATTCTTCCATATCGTTATAGTGATTTTCGAAAAAAAAATAGCACCTGTATACAAAATATCTCCCCCCCCTCCCCCGTATAATTCCATTATCAACATTAGTCATAGATAAATAATTCTTTGTTCGGAAATTAATCGGTTAGCAGCATTAGTCATTCATTCGGGACCAGGTGGTGAATCAAGACAGTCTTATATTAGATGTCATCACGTATGGTCGAATTTTGTGATCGACATCGGAAAATACGCGAAAGGGATAATTTATCGTTCCAAACTGAGTGTTCCCTAAAAACTGAGTGATTGCATTGATTCGTATATAGTGTTTTTGTCTAGTGTTTCGTGTTGTTTCATCAAAGCATCACTTTTTTCACGCTGGTGAGTGCTGAGAAATTCTCTCAATTTTTCCTCATATTTCTCTGTATTCATTTGAGAAATCCATGAAAATGTACATGCTTATATTTTGGTATACGCTCTTTTCATTGAAGATATGTTCAACAATGCAGTGTTGCCGCTTCTACTAGATAGTAGTACCAACATTGATATTTCGAACGGAACACCCTGTATTTTATCGCATTTTAAGATTCTCCCTGAAAAGCTGATTTCATCGATGTATCATACTTATTGGGGTTTACCGAAAATGATTACATAGATATAGGGTATTCAAAATCGATATTTCTCAACTTTACGATTTTTTTTGTGTCGAAGGTTCTTCATAAAAACTCGCTACAGGGTGTCATCACCTGAAACTGTGAACAATTTTTGAATTTTAAGAAGGATCCCAAATTAACGAAACCTTTTTTTTCAACTTTGACAGCAGATTACCTTGAGACATTTTTCGAATTGTCTTATTATCCCTTTTACTCACAGAGTGATATCGAAAAATCGACTTTTAGGTTCTGTAGTCATAACTTTTTTCCTTCCCAACCGATTTTTAAAATCGCAGGCTCATTTTGAAGATGAAACTTTAGATGAAAAGATATGAAGATCAGAATTGACTCAAGATGAACATTGCACATCAGTGTGTCTCACTTTTAATTGAAGCAGTATCTTTCGTATTTGTTTATTAGGGATTCTGAAATTTGCAGGAACGGTAGATATATACACTGAAAGTAGGTACACACTATGACCAAGTGGAGTCATCTTCAGTGATATACACTGCTTGCTAACAGCCATGGAACCATCCACAAAAATGAAATAGGCGAGTTGACTAATTATTTTTATTTCTTAAATAGAATTATCACTCAAATAACTTTCAATTTCATATATTTTTAGAATTCTTCATTCGATTTTAAGGTGCTGAGATCAACAATAATGCCACGGTGATTTTCAAACGGCTAAAAATTTACCGCGAGTAAAAACTGACGTCACTATTTTGTAAGTAGGGACAGACCATATAGCACAGTTGCCATGTGTTGAAATACGACTGGAACCTATATAGGAAATATTAGTTATTCAATAATTCATAAATTCTCAATTTTTTATGGGATATATTCCTAATAATACATTAAAATCAATTGTCTCAAAATATTCCTTCATCTGTTGTGGCTTATTGTTTATAATACATTTGTGTTAATATAAATATTATTATAATAATTCATACTAGAGTATATTTGAGGGTAAACGTGACAACCCGGCGCATGAATTGTGGGCGGTGCCTTGTCAGTTCTCAGCATTCAGCACATTGTTGCCAAGTCTTCAACATCAACATGATATTTTGTTATAGGGTACGAGAAATATACAGACATGCTGGTTGCTCGAAAAAGTCAAGAAAGTTCTATAATATCATTTCTTACTCTTTTTATGTTTTATCTCGTGTTTTATCCAACGACAGGACTCTAATCTTCATGATAAATTGAATTGGTGACTTGACAACGTTGCTTCATGAGTGGAAATGAAAGATCATTTTTGCAGTATTGCAGTATCATTGCAGAGAAAAGTGATGTTAATTCTCTTTCTTTTCGTTTCACTTTTATCAAATGAATATCTTTCTTTTCCTTGATTTCTTTATATATTCATTGACATTTACAAATCATTTTATTAATTATCTGACACTGTCACTATTTTTTTCTTTTTCAACAACATACAAGGTGTATTTGGCAACGAATAACTCTAAATAATAATCTTCCTTAACAAGTGTTTTTTATCTACCTGCCTCGTCTTCATTGAGATAGTTGATGAATTGATGAATTACACAAATATATCGCGTTCCAGTTACGAATGTTGGGAATATTATTCAGGTAAAGAAAGCGGATATGCAGCAATTAATCTAGTTATGGACGTTGAAAATATTATTCAGGTATGTCTCAGATTCAACATCTATGTATTTCCTCTAGTGATATTTTCTGATTCAAATGTACTTCGATTCAAATGTGATGTTTTGTTGCAGATCCAAGAAGCAGTGCTTGATACTTGCCACTCAATCGGAGAAAACCATCCAGTAAATACGGACCGAACAGAAGATCCGCAAAGAGAACTGACCAGAGTATACTTTACAGAATTGAGATCATTATATTCGTACGGAAGGCGATATATTGATTACCTTTCCAGATTCTCAAGCAGACAGATAGACAGATATTCAGCTTTATGTCTCTATGGAAACACGACAGGTACCCTTACGAGGGGAGAGTATCAACTCGGCGTTTATAAACCCTCTCTGCAAAGGAGGTAGACGCATGGTGGGTTAGGTATATACAGTGTTCTTCATTGCAGAGAAAATTGTTGTTTATCTGCCTGTCTCGTCTTCATTGAGATAGTTGATGAATTGATGAATTACAAAAATATATCGCGTTCCAGTTATGAATGTTGAAAACAATATCCAGATTTTCATAGATTCATATTCTATGTAGGTCCCACGATTCAAATTTGAAATTGATAGGTACTTAGTTTTAGGTCTAAGCAGCACATTATTGTTTGGCCTTCAAGGTCCTTAATATAGCCCACGTTATTGAACATGTGGAAGATGCCTACTAGATGACCACTATACGGAAAGAAAGCGGATATGTTGTTGTTTATCTGCCTGTCTCGTCTTCATTGAGATAGTTGATGAATTGATGAATTACAGAAATATATCGCGTTCCAGATATGAATGTTGAAAACAATATCCAGACTTTTCATGAATTCATATTCTATGTAGGTCTCACGATTCCCATTTGAAATTGATACTCAGTTTTAGATCTGAGCAGCACATTCTTTGGCCTTCAAGGTCCTTGATATAACCCACGTAATTGAACATGTGGAAGATGCCTACTGGAAAAACCACTATACGGAAAGAAAGCGGATATGTAGCAATCTAGTTACGGACGTTTAAGGGCGCGCATCACAGTGAAATAGTTCGCCCACAGACACCAGTGAAACTATAAATATATCACAGCCGTCTAGTGGCGCCATAATTATAGTTTCATGAATTATTTCTACAGAATCCTTTAGATACAGTCAATTCAATCAATAGGGAACCTCATCAATAGATGTCTCTGAATAATGTTTGTGGCTGTACTAAGGGAACAGGTACAAAGTCAACTACAGTGTTGCCAGTATTTAATCAGAGTACGTCGCCAAATTAGTAGTAGTAGAAATTCATAATAGTGGAATGATATATTTCACATTATTATATTTACCACCTAGTATTCCCATCCTGTGATGACCTCACCATAGAATGAAAGTCATACGATAGTTTATATCTAACATATATTATTGATTCTCTGTCACAGTGTTTGTGGCCAAACTCCTCCGAAACGGCTTGACCGATTCTTATTAAAATTTTTGTGCATTTTTGGTAGGTCTGATAATCGATCGTAAACTATTTTTTAAATTGGAAACTCAAGATGGCGGATCCAATAAGGCGGACGAGTTTTCTAATTATGATCCGATTCTATTCAAAATCTCTGTATCGGGTGGTTTTCGGGATTGAAAATAATGATACTTCCGTCAGAATAAGAAAATTAAATATGGTGGATCCAATATGGCGGACGAGTTTTGTACTTGTGATCCGAATATTTTCAAAATTGGTATCTGGGGGTTTTCGGTATCGGAGAATATGATTATTTTGTCAAAATCAGAAAAATAAAGATGACGGATCCAATATGGTAGAGTTTTGTAATTATAAAAAAATTCCAATACCTACCTCCTATCCCTATCCTCTCTAGGAACGCACGATGTTCTTTGAACATTTCTTTGAACATTATAGGGATTCCCTATCGTGCGCTCCAAGCGAAAAAAAAAATAATCCTATTCTATTCAAAATTGGTATTTGGGGGTTTTCGGTATCGGAGTTTATGATTCTTTTGTCGACATTTAAAAAATAAAGATATCGGATCCAATATGGCGGACGAGTTTTGTTCATGATCCGATTATTTTCAAAATTCGTAGGTATCTGAGGGTTTTCGGAATCGGGGAATATGATTCTTTTGTCAAAATCAGAAAAATGAAGATGACGGATCCAATATGGTAGAGTTTCGTAATTATAACCCTATTCTATTAAAAATTGGTATTTGGGGGTTTTCGGTATCGGTGTTTATGATTCTTTTGACAAAATTAGGAAATTGAAGATGGCGGATCTAATTTGCATATTGGATCCGGATCTATATAGGTTTTCGTTGAAAGGGATTTTCTCTTTTTATTTCAGAGTTCTGTGGCCAGAGAATGAAGAAGTTATACGTATCATTGTACCTTTATTGGTTCTTATAATCATTTGAACTTCCCGGAGATTTTGAAGTTTTTGTTGACATGTTTTCTCTGTGCGTTTTTGTAACATTTCAGACACATTTACCTGATGAAAATAGATGAGATGTTTATGATATATTATTATCAAAAAATTTTCCCATATGATGCCAACTTTATGAATGATACTGTAGAGTGTAGAACCATAATATAAACAAAACACCTGCTAACGTCAAATGGATCTCGCTCTGTGCGGATGACTCGAATCTACTTGGATGGTAAAGCCACAAAGCCATTGAATTTGGACTCGCGATACTCATCTCCCTCCCAGAAGCCCATCAAGCCGTCTCAATAAGTCGCCTGTCGCCAAGTTCAATTTTTGGTCGCCAAAATAGGTTCAGAGATAGCCCAATTGTCGAGAAATCGCCCATACTGGCAACACTGGTCACTTATCGATTTTTCTTTGAAGTCCAGTTGGAATCGTTCGGGGAATCACATACACTGCCTGATACCGCGACACCGCCCGCTCCGCCAGTTGCAGTGCTGCCAGCGTTCTGCTATTTTATATTATAACACTGATGTTTTTGTATATATCATCGTATCGTTCATGTTCATGACATTTCCTTAGACCTGGCATCACTGGTCACTGGTTGAAACTAAGTAGCACCAGATTTCTAATTCTTGGCAAATGAGAAAAGGAGGAAAGGATTGATTAAACTTGCTTTCATAAAAAATAATCTTTCGAGTTTCATATGGGCCTATCACAAAAGACAATATTTTGTTTATGCCTACACTAATTTTTTTATGAATATTACCTGTCATGAGTGGATTATGTATACTTACTTCAACACCAGTTTTTTGAATGGGAATTCAAGATAATCAAAACTATTTTCTATAAATTGGAAGAAAAGTGGTGGTTACGTTACGATTGAGATATGGGATATGAGAATTTCTCAATTTTGACCAAATGATCATAATCTCCGACCCCGAAAACCCCCAAATACCAATTTTGAATAGAATTGGTCGATAATTACAAAACTCGTCCGCCATATTGAAACCGCCATCTTGAATTTCCCAATTTTGACTAAAGATTCTGAATCTGTGACCCGAAAATCCCAGATACCAATTTTGAAAACAATTGGTCTATAATTTCGAAACTTGTCCGCCATATTGGATCCGCCATCTTGGATTTCCAAATTTTGAAGAAATAATTGTTATCTCCGACTCCGAAAACCCCCTAGATACCAATTTTGAACAGAATCGGATCATATTTGAACAACTCGTCTGCCATATATTGTATCTGCCATTCTGAATCTCCTCATTTTGACGAAGAAATCATAATATCCGATCCCGAAAACCCTCAGATGCCAATTTTGAATAGAATCGGATTACAAAACTCGTCCGCCATATTGGATATCCGCCATCTTGAATTTTCAATTTGAAAAATCGTTTACGACTGATTCTCAGACCTACCGAATATGCACAAAAATTTTCATAAGAATCGGCCAAGCCGTTCGGAGGAATTTGGCGTCAAACACCGTGACAGGGACAGGAGAATTTTATATATTAGATTGATATTATCAATCAACAGAGTCAGTTATGCAATACACTCGATAGTCTATAAAAAGAAAATAAAGCGCAATTACTTACAAAAAATCGCAATGACGCAAAACGAAGTTAAAAAGCGACTTATTGGCAACACTGTTCCCCAGACCCAGAAAGAAGAAATGAATAGAAAGATAACTGTAATGTTTGTATTAGTTCTTGAAGGAGCGCAGCACGGTAGTTTCACTGTGTAGCCCTCTGAGAGACAATAGCTGAACTACTCTGCCACTGTCGAAACCTCGCTAACAATATGGCGATATTGAAAATAGATGCAGAAACGTCAGAATTATTTTTACGAACAATACATTCCCAAACGACAATGTTCCAGAAGCTGATTATTTCATCAAAAATTTATTGAATTACTAACTTAGGGTATGCCAGGTTTTTATTCGATTCTGTTACACAAACGTTGTCAATGTTATTGTTTTTCATTACCATATATTTTTTTACACAAATCGAATTTCGCTGGAAAATTCCTTCATATCCTATTCTCAACCTTCGTCTTTAATATGTACCAACCACTTTTGCGCTTACACTTATAGTTTATTAATGATTTGGTACCAAACTGACCTCTGCATGGCAGTTTTGACTGATGCGCCCTCTTAAAATATTATTCAGGTATGTCTCAGTATGTATCTAGTGTTTATGGTTTATCCCCAGAATTGAATAAGGATGGAACTATATAGCTGTTTCACAAACACTTTAGAGTGAGAGGAGACGAGAATCTGTCCGTACCCTGCTAAAATGACTTTAACGTCAATTTCCATCAAGGGACTCTAACCACAACCAAGGTTGCCCCACAGCAAATGTCACTTGTCAGTTCAACTGTCAGTGATAGTGTCACGAATGTTACGTCACATGCCAATCATGTTATATTTCAAAGTGGAGATGACAGAAACGTCAAAACAAAATCATATATAAAATGTAAACAAATGAATGAAACAATATAATTATTAATTCTCAGTTATGAATATTCACCTACATTAATTTAACTTATTTAACTTAACTCATTTGAATCTGCACAGCAGAATACGCTGTCAGTTATTTTGGAATGGGGGGCTTACTCATTTTTTGTATTGTTGTCTGTATATTATTTTTATTTGTGTCTCGGTATGCTGATAATTTTGCGAACCTCAAACTCTCATTAATTTTTTTTAATTTTCTAGGATTCTTCCTATAATAATTTCTTGGCACTTCGAACAGAAATATGCAGTATCCCTTAAAATAGGAAGAATAGGTCTACCTTACTTGAAACTTTGTGATATACACTTTTCCAAAAATGGATTTAGTATTGTAAGTAAAATGAAATATTGTATCCATTGAAGTTTTCAGCTGAGTTTTCAGTCTTGGACTCTTAGCCTATACTATATCCACGTGAAAAACTGTATGAGTCCCAAATGTCAACATTTTCGATTTTGCCCTGTATCTCAAAAACGAAGTGAGATATGAAAATTTTGTTTGTGGTATCATGAGTTTCACAAAAAAGTAGCCAACATTTGCAAAAACTGCAAATCTCTATCTCTGGAAATAAGTGAGATATCCCATAAGGACATTGAAAATGGAACAGCCTGTACATGTTCCTCTTGCAGTGGCTGAGTTAGGAGGACTTGGGGGCTAAAATCCCCAAATTATGAATAAGTCCTCCCTAAAAAATATCAACTATCAGGAACTAATGAAATAATCAACATTTTGAAGACAGCAAGCCATAAGTTGATGCTTTTGCATTAAATAGTGGCATGTCAGGCAAGGCACACCAATAAGCAATAATTTTGTACTTTTACAAGTACATATTCCTATAAAAATGTTGAATATTGTATCTTACATCCCAAATATGTAAATACAATCATGCATGTAGATAAGGAAGGGTCTGGGGGAGTACTAGGTGACAGAGTATACCTCCCCTTGGAGACAGTATTCCTTCTTGAGACATCAGTAGCCCCCCCCCCCCTCCCTGGAAGCAATGAGAGTAAAACAAACAATGTCTTGTCACCCATTTTGTATAACCTCATAACCTGTTTGGTTTCTTTGCACCTGTATAGGCTTTGTCCATATTTATCTAAATCTGAATATTCATAATCAATGAATGTTCTTACCCACCTGCTTTTGTGTAAAGAGCATCTATATACAATATTGAATGTTTTTTTTTATTTTACACCATATGAAAATGATGTAGTGTCAATTTTTAGTTGTCTCAATGTCAAAAATTATAATAAAACAGTTGTTAAAAATGAATTTATATATCAAAAACAATAGTAGTTGTGAACAAAGTTTAGTATTCTACTCGCTTATAATGAGCTGTCATTATATGCTTGTTGAATAATATACTATTAATTTCCACATTTATAGAGGAAAATTGAATATACAGGGGGATCCACGTTTGAGTTATGACGATGGCAACAATTTTTTCAAATGAAACACCTGTTATTCAATTTTTGGAATCTCTATAAAAAGCTGAATTCAAAAATGTATTAGACATAGGGTATATGAGTGCCCTAAATGCAAAACTCTGTATTTGCATCTCAAGTCATTTCCAGTAATCTGCAAAAAACTCATAGTTCACTTCCTCTTGTGCTATTGAAATTAGTCATAATAGATGGGGATAGAATCTAAGATCCTATGTTCTCTGTTTTGCACATATTGGGAATGCTATGGCTCCAAGAACAGCGTTTGACAGGGAATTTGTTCATAGAAATCAAGAGTAGAATTAAAAAACAAAAATTCAATGTCAGTTCCGGAGACCTCTCGCGAGAACGTACCCTTCTCCCTAATTCATCCCACAAATGTTCTATAGGATTCATATCGGGGCTTCTCGCAGGCCATTGTAATGTGGTAATACCAGTAGCTTCTAAGAAGTTTCGAACTATTGCTGCGGTGTGTGGTCGGGCATTATCCTGCATCAATATAAAATTATTGCCCACTAACTCTGTATAAGGTAAGACATAGTGCTCTAAAATGTCAATGTAAATTTGGGCATTCATCGACTGCCTCACCGGAAAAACATGAAGGGGTGTCTTTCCATTCATTGAAATCCCTCTCCACATCATAACGGACCCACCATTAAAACTTTCGCATTCTGTTTTTAAATTTTGATTAAACCGTTCACCAGTTCTTCTCCACACTCTTTTTCTTCCATCCACCATGTCAAGGCAAAACCTTGACTCATCCGTAAACAAGACATTCGACCATTCAGGAATATTCCACTGTCCATAATTTTCAACAAAATTTCTTCTAGCAGCACTATGTTCGGGCAACAATTTGGGACTTTTTGCAGGTCTCCTAGCTTTTAAGTTAACTTCTTTTAGACGTCTACATACCGTCTGCTTACTTACTGCAACATCACGAATTTGGCGAAGATCTTGCTGAACATTTGCCGCAGTATTTGATCGATTCCGTAAAATCCGCAATCTCAAGAGGCCATCATCTCTTGGAGAAGTTTTTCGGGGGCGACCAGAACCGACCCTCCGAGCGGTGCTTCCTGTTTGTTCGTACTTGCGGATTGCTCTACGAGCAGTTGCTTCATGAACTCCCACTGCACGAGCGGCGCAACGTTTACTACGCCCATCGTTTACTAACGCAACTAATCTTGCTACTTGTTCGGGATTTATTTGAGGCATTTTATGTGATTTTCGTCAATAAAACAAGATACTTAGTTAATGACAACGACAAATGGTCAAATATGGAGACATGCAACAAATTAGTTGCTATGGCAACGGCATTTGTTTTTTTAAAGACAATGTGATCCTACCAGAGTACAACCCAATCAATTTTGAGTACTCTGATCCTTCAATAAATTTAATTTGTGGGATAAGCGTAAGGTATCGGCAAAATAACTGTAATTCGGAAAATTTTAGAGATGAATCAATGAATAAAAAAACAAATTGCTCGCAAAAGAAGCCTCTTTCGTATAGGGTGTAAGCACTTTCTATACCATTACTCAATTAACACACAGGGTGAGTCAAAAATTAAGAATAAATCATGGTTCGAGTTTTTCCACCACCATCAAGAAGGCTTTGAAAAAATTGTCACCTCTTTATTTTTTTTTTATAGACAAATGCATTACCTACCAACAAATAAAAAAAAAAGAAAATCGGCCCACTATTTTTCGTATTTTTTTAAGAAGATTTTTTTTTCAATTGCATTTCCTCGTTGGACCCAGCACTGGATCCAACGCCCCATAAGTCGAAACTTGTGCGGGGTTAGGAAAGCATACATTTACAAACATCCATGGCCTAACTGGGATTCGAACCCATACGAACTCAGCGCTACTAGTTAAGAACCAATTTTCCTCTATGATTCATAAAAAAAACGTTAATAGAAAATGAATATCTGATGTCATGACTGATTTTTTGTAGCATGTAGACGAAGTTGGCATCAAAAGCAGTTTTTTGAATTCTGAACTGACGAAACTTGTCACCCTGGTGGTGAAAGATGTTCGAATTAACAAAGACCTGAGTACGAGCAAGATTGTTGAGCAATTCGAAAATCCTTCCGAATGTAACAAAGTCATAGACTTCAGGGAAAAAAAGGTTCCATATTTCATTACAAGCTTTGCACAAGTAAGTTCCTTCCACATATTATGACCATTTAGGGCCTCATAATTCTATCGATTTCTTTGAATAAGCTTCCCATTTTGTAACAACCTCATTTCTTGGTTATTTTTCACAAATGGAGGTATTCCCACGAAATTACATAACCTCCAAATGTCCGAAAAAAATTCCAACACCTACCTCCTCTCCTTATCCTCCCTAAGTACGCACGATGTTCCAAGAACATTATAGGAATTTTCATTCGTGCACGCCAATTGCCCCCCTCCTGATCTTCTTCAAAAAACGATTTCACAATTAATCTTCCTGTATATGTGTCAATTACATACATAACGAATGAGATTAGTATACTTAAAATAATTTTGAAATGTTTGATATGTGTAACTCATTTGATTGCCAACGTCACCAATTGTCACTGAGAACTGAAAAACGAATTTGCCATACAAAAATCCATTTTTTATGTTGAAAACGGGAGCAGATTCGTTACCGAAACGTCCAAAGCTAAGTAAAAATTTGATATTTTTTCTATATACCTTTATTCCTCCTCTACAAACTTTTTTCAATACAAATTGTCACTGACAAGCTAGTGAATTTTTCTTTTAGGCTCTCTGATAGAAAAATTCTTTAAACGCTGTGACATTTTGGGGCAAATTATCTGATTTGTCCTTACTACACGTATATTGAAATAATATTCATAAATTTTTTTGAAACGAGGAGAGAAAATCCCAAAAAATCTGGAATAACGAATTTTTATTGTTTCTTCTAATACTAAGCAAGATTAAAAACACCCACAGGGGATAAGAAAGTTGATATTTCAATTGTTCAATCTAATAAAAACATGAAAGTCAGACTAACCAGTGGCGTATATTAACCATAAATATCGATAAATTAACCCACTGTGACGCCACTGAAAATATTATTTCGAATTTATTCACATCAAAAGAAGCTCCATGTTACATTCAACGAAACCACCAAGTTTCATTGAAATTGGTGAAAATACATTTGAGTAATTATTAAAAAAACGATTTTTCATGGAAATATTAATACCCTGTATCTCGAAAACGAAGTAAGTTAGGACACATGTTTATGTAAACTTTATTTTCTAAACTATCACATGGAATCACCCCCTGAAATTTGTCGCACTCATTCACTGACACCCTGTATACAGGGTGTTAACAAATAAGTGTCACAACGGAAAACTGTAGATTTCTCATAATAAAAGAAACATTTCTTTCCTCTTCAAAATTTTTCTCCGGGCTTCCGTTTTCAAGATACAAGGCGTCAAAAAATGAAAAATGTTCAGTTTAATCAAACACACTTTACAACACTTGATGAAATTAACAATTTGAAAACCAGCATCGAGACCAGCATACTCAAGAACCTGACATTTGATTGAACATATTATTAGACAGTTCTGAGGTGTTTATTTCCAGTGGATTTTTAGACGATTTTTGGAGATACCATCAGGATTTAGTATGTTCTTATTCATAAAGGGCCATTTTTCGCGGAAACTTTAGAGCATTGAGACAAGAGGACGTTTTTTGTGTGAAAGATATTGGCGCTTCAGAATCTACTTTGAAAATTACAATTTCTTCAGTGGCATAAATGTTTGGGGGGTTAAACCCTTACGAGGCGTTGAAGAAAATTGATCAAGAGCCCTAAAAGTAGTCAATATTGATGATGAAGTGTGTACGAAGGCTTAACTCCGAAGCTCCGACGGTTCCTGAGATAGTAGCAAAAAACAAATGTTTTGTATTTTTTTGACGCCCTGTATCTTGATAACGGAAGCCCGGAGAAAAATTTCGAAAGGGATTTTTTTTTTCTTTTTTCATGAGCAATCTACAATTTTCCGCTGTGACACTTATTTGTTAACGCCCTGTATATATTGTTTAATTTCAGTTCATGGCTGTGCATGTTTACAACATATCTGCGATGTTTCTGAGAGCAGAGACACCTGGTTATCTGATCCATTCTACAGCATCCGAGCTGCATTTGGATGGGAGTATTCTGAAGAATGCAAAATCACTGTTAGCAACTATTAATTTGATGGACGCTGAAACAAAAGTGTTGAGGCATGCTGAAGGGCAGGTCAAAGAAACTAAATTAGCTGAATTCAGTTTTGGTATATCTATGGAAACGATACTTGTCGTTCAAGGTCCATTATCTATTGAGGTAGGTAGTAAATCTAGTGAAAAAAATCTAATAATATATTCCTTTTATTTTTATCTATGAACCTATGAAGATAGAACTTTCTCCGCCTCTGTGCAATAATAATTTTATAAAATGAAAATCAGATATAAGTGCATATTATAGTTGCAAATGCTTGACAATGAAAGTTCATATCAAGAATTTGCTTTCATTGTTGAAGTGGGGGAAGTTTTTTAATATACCAAAATGAATTAATGTACAGTTAGCACAGAAACTATGGTAACTTTGCACTCATCATTTAGAAATACTCTCTAACAAAGTTTGGATATCCATATCCTGTTCAATTTATCTGATTCTTTTTCGGAAAAATAACTCCGCCCTTTCCCTTTTGTCATTATTTGATAAATTGTGAACTGTAAAGCTCACTCATAAATATATTTATTTTTCAAGAACTGTGAATACCTGAAGCTATCTTAATTATTTATCCTGAAAAATAATCATAATATTTTTCAATTTATGAATAAGTATTTTGGCTTTCAGGTTGAAAAAATTCAACAAAATAAGAAGGATGGCAGTTATTATACCACTAGAAATTTTTTTAAATAGAATCATCACTCAAATACCTTTCAATGTCACATTTTTTTAGAATTTTTCGTTCGATTTTAAGGTGCTAAAATCAACAATAATACCACGGTAATTTTCAAACTGCAAAAAATTCACCGCGAGTAAAAACTGACGTCACGATTTCGTAAGTAGGGACAAACTATAGCTCAGTTGCCATATGTTGAAATACAATAGGAACTTTGGAAATATTAATTATTCAATAACTCATGAATTCTCAATTTTGTATTGGTTATATTCCTAATCAGAAATAAAAAGTCAATTGTCTCAAAATATACCCTTATCTGTTGTAGCTTATTGCTTATAAGTAATTGTGTTAATAATAATATTGATATATTAATTCACACTACAGGACATTTGAGGGTAAACGTGACAACATGGTATCACGAATTGTGGGCAGTGCCTTGTCAGTTCTAAGCATTCAGCACATTGTTGCCATGTCTTGAACATCAACATGATATTTTGTTATGGAGCATAAGAGATATTTAGATATATGCTGGTTGCTGGAGAAAGTAGAGAATGTACTGTTATATGATGGTATCCTTATAGTATGTTTCATGTCTTGTTTCATTCAATGACAGGACTCTGATCTTTTTGACAACCTTGCTTCATAAGTGGAAATGGAAGATTATCTGACGAATAACGAAACAGCATAAAAACTGACGTTACCAATTATTGGACGTATCTCCAAATGGCGGCCATGACGGTACGTTTGAAATGAGCTCTGAAATTCAACAATTTTGAGCGACGCATAGACTCATTATTTACATAAATAATCGTGAGAAGTGTAGCAAAAATTAATTTAGGTCCCTAACGACACAGTGGAGTAATTCAATGCAAACAATTCATTATCAGTCCATTCGAATTTTTTTTATGGAAAATCTAGGTGATTCATTTTTTTTTTATATCAAATTCGTGTTCCTTGGCCTTGGGAACAAAAAAAAGTTGGTTGCACGTTATTAATTATGCGATTTTTTCAAAATTTTGGTGGTGACTGTATGTTGACAAAAATTAAATATTTGGCATAGAACATTTTTTTTATTTACCATTGTCGTGCGGCACCAGGGAGAATGCCTTCCTTGGTAAAAGGATATTAGGGCCCATTCAAGGAAACCTTATCATCAGATTTAGAATCAGCATCCTTAAAAACCCCCTTACTCACATTCTCAGAAAGCTCCAGACCAGCTTTTAGCAGAGGAAAAAATTAAATTCCTGCTTATCATGAATACCTAATATCTCAGTTATTGTAGTGATTGTATGTTATGAAAATTAATTACTTGGAATAGTGAACATTTTTATTTACCATGGGCGCGCTGTGTTGGGGTGAGTAAAAAGGCTTCTTTTAGAAAAAAGGATAGAGCTCATTTAAGATAACACCTCCGGAAATGTTGAGCATGAAAAGTTGCAAGTTTGCCCTAACTTAACCTACTCTGTATCTCTTAAGGTTACCGAGATTTCCATTCATAACCACGAATTTGTAACACCCTGTAATGTTTCCATGAATGTTTTAACAATCTGTCATATACTATTTTTATCACTTGAGCTTTTTGTCGAAGTAAACTTGACATTTCAATGAGAATTTTGTTGCTTGGAAAATGAAAAAAAAAATGACTTAAAGAAATTACGAGCCCATAGGACGAGTAAATCTTCTGGCAGGATTTTGAGTATAATTTCCTGAAGGCAACAAAACTCGAATTATAAATGTTAAATTGTTGATGGATTTTTCAATATCTACACTCGAAACTCTCCAAATCGCGACATTTCCACAGATTAAGAGTTTTATGACTATGCAAGATTGATAAAAATGACATAAACGCCATCAAACATTCGTTCACAATTTTGGTTGTCATGGTTTCAAATGTAAGGTTAAGTTTTGTCAACAGTAAAAACACAAGAGCTTTTTTTATTGAATACATTTCTCTTCCTTACGAAAAAAACTTGCCACTCAGTAAGTTCACGAGAAAAACATGAAAAAATTGCGAGACCGTTAGGGCAACATTTTTTCGCTGTCATAGCGACCAAATCCAGGGGCTTATGGGATTTTTTATACATGATTTAAAGGTGATTAAAAACTACTTGGTACACGAATTATTTGTAATTGGTTTCTCTTTTTTCAGAAACTTGACATAACAATGTCCCACACTAGTGCTGTTATAAATGGAGGCTTCTATAATTTAGCACAACGTTCAAAAAATATAGAAACGAACTATGAATCTAGATCAATAATTATTGACAAAGAAGATGATGACATTCTCCTCAGAATTGAGCCTATAATCCCCAAGGTATAGTTCTGTTTGGTTTTCACAATGTTGAATTTTGATGATTAATAGATGGGTACACGCTCAGCATTGTCATTAAATGCGCCCGGACGATTTTCGGGCGCCATTTGATTTTTTTTATGTTGGAAATGGATGGGAAAAAGCTTTCTTTCTATACCAAATACATGATTCGAATAACATTCCTTCAAGGCAGTTTTAATGGAATAGGTAAATTTTCGGTAATACTAATATTTCCTACAATTAATTTCATCAAAACTGCCTGGTAGAAACCCATAATGTACTGCTAAATCTTGTACAAGGATGACTGACTAAGCAATAACAAAATATGAAAATACATGTATTGTTTTGACAAAGATCAAAATTAATAAAGGAAAAAGAAAACATATATTTAGTGAAAAGAAAATATAAAAACAGCCAAAAAACGCCCAGTGCTGTAACTTCTGAATCATTCGAGAACGGATTTTGAAAATGGTGAGTATAAAATTTAAAGTCTCCTTTGCCTCTAAACTATTCTCGAGGACATATATAACCTCCAAAAGTTGAAAAAATCCAGTAGGTATAATATCTACCTGCTCCTGTTCCTATCATCCATAGGTACGCACGATGTTCCACGAACTCAATGAAGATTCTCTTTCCAGCCCTCCAAAAGACACAAAAAATAATATAAGCATCATAATTGGTAACAATAAGAAAGGCATTAATTTCTAATTTAATAGACTGCCTATAGTAAAACAAATAACTATTATTCAAATACTGACAAATACAATAACAAATTAATATATTTCATAGGAAGAACGTTCATTCAGGCCGAGTTAGGTTAGATTTTTTAAAAGAGTAGTCTCCTATTATCCAGAAGGGATATGTTCCTTCCTCATATTACAGAACATGTAGTATCTCGCTCGGATTATTTGGTCGGTCGACCGGGTTTGAGAGGCTGTAAAACAAGCAAATTGTCCAAAAGTAGTTCTACTTATTTTGTAATGCTTAATAACCGTATATATATATATATATATACAATTACATTTTTGTGTTTAGGAAATATTCGTTGCTCAAAACTAGCGTATTTTTTGGGCATTGTCCGAAATCAACTATTGAGTCTAACACTAGAACTGAATAAATAATCAATGTTTATTCTTTCACATTCTACATATTTTGTTATAGATCTGTTCTCTGCATATCGATGATACATCGTTGACAGGAGTGAAAGATAATAGTCAAATAGAATACTACTCATCTTTGACAGCAGTGGCTTTGAACTACAGAACAATACATGCTGATGACAAGAGTGATACAACATTACTTTTCAATTTCTTCATAAATAATTTGATACTGCAGAACAGTCGAGAAAAGTTGTTGGTATTGAAGTATTTCAATGTAGATGCCAAGGTAAAGTAGTGATTGGAATGATGACATTCAGTACAATTTACAATAACACGAATTTGTTTTGCTCAAACATCCGTGCCGTTCAGACAATCTGTTAGACAAATTGAAATGTGCAAAAATTCCGAGGCAAAAAAGTGGCCTGAAAACATTTTGGCAAATTTATCGCCCCTAGTAACTTTTTGATTCATAATTTCTACAGAGATCTCAATTGGCTTTATCCCTGTTTTGAAGGAAGGGTACCATAGTAGAGTAAGATATTGTATGAGACAATGTATCAACGAATGGTTAATACTTCTTGAAAGATGTTTTGGTATGCAATTGTATCTTCGCTAAATAAGAAATACCATTGTGCCAAGAAGGGACCACACTATAACCCAAAACTTTATGAACTGAGTTAAATCACTCACTATTGAGTAGAAATGAAAGTGAAAGAGTATCTTCTGTTTTTCCCTGTATGATGATCAAGTCATCAGCTTTTCTTGGGAACTAAAATTCAGCCAGATATTCCAAATCATAAATATACGGTTTGGTCAAAATTTAATTGAAATCAGAGAGGAATTGAAATAGCGACAGTGCGATCAATTTTTCAAAATTTTTTTCTTCCCTTCTTTTGCCGGTGTTTCATATTCAACTATAATGGGGAAGTTTCCTTCAGATGAATTTTCATAAAATAAGTTCCAACTCTCCAGTTTTATGTCCACCCTGTACAGAATGGCGACCGATAGAGTCCATCAAGTAGTTTTCATTTTCAAATTAAAGCAATTTCTGATTTTCGGGGCGAATAGCTAACAAATAGCTAACGAATGAAAAACGAATGAAAAAAATAGGAGACGTAAAACTGGTAAACAAAAACATGCATAACCACAAATGCACTCGGAACAGGAATGAAGAAGGTAGTTGGCTTCATTCTGACAGGTTATGGTTTTTTTCATTAATGCCTTGAAATATTCCGAATAGAGCTCGCTCCCAAATGAAAATATCATTGAATCAATGAATCAATATCGGCTACATTCAATACTATCCTTCCCAATTTACTGCCATCGGTCAGAAGAGAATGAAGCCGACACCCATGGCTCCTTCCTCTCGTTGTGCCTGTCAGTGTTTCGAGTGGTGTGGACGGATTCGAAGTATTAGGCGCTGTTGCAAGATATCTGCAACTTTCCTAGAAAATAGATCCGTTTTATTAAGGAACGAATTCATTGAAAAAAAAAATGACTGACAAGTTATGAATAACATATTGTAATATAACGATAGGGAAAAATTATAGATACTATCGCAAAATATAATTTATCTTGATTGATTGATTGATGATTGTCTTTATTACCCTAAGAAACATTACTGTTTATGATAAGGATACATAAATACATATAAAAAATAATAATAAAGGGTTAACTAATGAATTCCACTGAGTGGAAACGAATTAATATTGTGTCTTAAGATTAATGCTATATTTCATTCCTAAGTAATCGAATCATGCCACATAATTTTCATTCAAATTGTCTTGAGCAAGTATTTTTTTAGATTGATTTTAAACCTTCTTGCATCATGTATATTTTTCAACTCATTCGGTAATGAATTGTATAAAATTACTCCATTGTGAAAAACAGATTGTTTGCCAATGTTTGACTTGAATGTATTTGCTATCAAGTAATTGAATTGTCTAGTCCCATGTCCCATAATTATGGACTGTATTGACTTCATTGAAAGCTAAATTTGATATTTTCAATTTATTCCTGGGTAAATGAATAAAGCAACATATTTTAAGTTTATATAACGAAATCAGGTTCAGAAAATGTCTTGGTTTGTATAAATTTATCGTTGGTTCTAGAAAATGTAGATGAAAAATGCACTTAATTGATTTGTTTTGTAATGTCATTAGTGGTTTCAGACATGAAATATTTGTACTCCCCCAAATAGAAATTAAATATTGCAAATTTGAATAAATGAGGCAAAAGTAAATACATTTCAAGTATTTTATGGGAATAATATTTCGGATTTATGGGAATTATTCATAATACTTGACAAAGTAGGATTGAAGAACCTATTATGATGTCGGCAACGTCGTACTGGCACAGGGAATCATATTCTAACTCTTCTCAGAAACTACCTCATAGGAATGGTGGAGGCGCCAAGTTCCTCTTTTATTTATTTTTTTCTGAAGTGAAATTTGACGAAAAGAAGAAACAATACGTTTATATTAATTTTTCACAAACTAACTTTACACAGTGAGATAAAAATCACAATATAGGAAACTTTCCCATTCTGTTACATGCATTTATTCGTAGAGATCATGCAATGGTCTATGACAGCGTACGGCTTTGAAGGTACCAAAATCAAGTCCTGCTACCGTCATCTTTTTAAGTGATTTTTGAATGAAAAATACTATGGAGGCGTTTGCTGTTGAGACCGATAGGGATTCGCTATTCCAATGATGGTATTGACCTGCTAATACATTTGAATCTACCGCTTCTAGCTAGAACTGTTTTTATTGGTAGTTGATGGATGTTTGGGCACAACGAATTTATGCTTTACAATACGCTTCCATGACTTCTTTTCAGATGAGACAACTAGTACTGAATATATTTCTCCAACAAAACTGTTTACTTGTTACCTACGACCACGTTCTGATTCACAAATGGGTGTGTACTAACTTTCCAAAGAATCAAAAAGTAACACCACTTAAACTAGGAATTCATCGTCAGAATGCAGATAGCCGCAATAATTTGAAATTGGTCAAGATTGAGAAGTCTGCATTGGAGAAAATGATGGAGAAATGTTGTATAAATTTTTGTGCTGAATTTAATCAAGTGTCGGCTATTATCAGATTGAAAGATAGGAATTCTTCAATAGGATTCAAGAAAATTCGGTTAATGTTGGACCAATCACAAGATACAAGAGGTAAATAATGATAATAATAGTAGTAATTATAATCTTATTTTTTCCCAAGAAATTGTATACCTACATTTTTATAACAGGGAACATCTAAAATGAAGAAAAAAGTTAATTTTACTCATTCAAATGAATTGATTAATGATTTATTGCAATACTCTGTATTGTAAGTCGACACACAAGACAATCCAGTGGCATTTATCATAATTTGAAGGAATTGTAGACAAAGCTAAATTATGAAGAAAGTTTGAATGGATTTTCCTCGGAAAATGTCTTCTTGTCAGCTGACCAAACAGTGTTTTCATTATTTATTTTCACAGATTTTCTCTGTATATGTCATTTTTGAAATAAGCAAGCATTGCAAATTTCTGAGTGCAACGGAAGAACTTCGTGGCGTAGATTCCATCTTCTATTGCCTAAAAAAAATTCTGAATATGTGATTTCAAGTTTTAATTATAATTTTTTCTGATATCGTCTGGAATCATCAATTTTGTGGATACTATAATACACCTGTGGGATCAATACTTAGATACTTGATGCAAGGATATATTTATCCTCCTTATTTGTTCCTTCAGCTATTCCCTGTTCTCTTCTGAACCTAATTAAATGAACCTATTCCATGAAATACATTTGTCACTTGAGCATTCGGTTAATTAATTTGGTTAGGTTTATCTCCTCTCAGACAGATTGAATAAAGTATTCGCCTTACCGTCTTTTGCTAAGTTTCCCTGACTGTCTTTTGCTCAGTTTCCCTCATTGTCTTTTGCTCAGTTTTTCTCAATCATGCCTCATTGGCGAGAATGTAACATGATCAAAAGGGTTTAGCTAATTTCTTCAATATCATGTCACGATTCCATTTTTATATCACGTTAGTACACGAATTGAGACTATCAGTAACTAAACTCATTGAACTAGGTCTCATAACTAAAAGATCTAGAATAGAATCAGAAGGGGCGCGACAATACTGTTTCGGTCCATCAGGCCTCATCAGCCGCTCTCGGTCTGCTGACAACTGGGACGACTCAACGCTTCAAGTATATCACTCATTTTGATCGGATTTCGTGAATAATTAATTTGACAGCAGCAAATGACAGTTGTTGTCAACTCACTCTCCGCGCGGACCAGGGTTGCCAGTTCAATTTTCATTTCATCAGAAAATACCTTGTCAAAAATTCAGTAGATTTCAATAGATCTGTTTGAGATCTATTTTATGCTATATGAATTCCAAGAAAGGATAACGAAATAAACCTATGACGTCAAAACATTATGTACTTTTAGTAAACAGAAAGGTAACCTATTTCCAACGAAAGAAACAAACAAAACAAACATTATCTTACAAAAATACTCATACTCCTTCTCAATTTGAAAATACTCACAAATTTCACAAAATACAGTTGAATAGGTACTCATAAGAAATATTTGAGTATATAAAAAACATGAACGGATAGTAAAATCTAATATATAAAATTCTCCTGTCCCGGTCACGGTGATGGTGGTCGAACTCCTCCGAAACGGCTCGACCGATTCGTATGAAATTTTTTGTGCGTATTCGGTAGGTATGAGAATCGGTCGTAATCTATTTTTTAAATCGAAAATTCAAGATGGCGGATCCAATATGGCGGACGAGTATTGTTATCCGATTTCATTCAAAATTGGTAGTTGGAGGTTTTCGTTGATGAATATTCAACTAAAACAATATTTTCTAGAAGAAAATGTATAAGTATAGCAAAACAACGTGTGCCAGGTATCAGCATCAGCTATTGTAATAAATAGTAGTTTGAAAAACTTATTTAACACGTTTTTATCGATAGCCAAACTAAAAAGGAGTGAGTAGTAAATGAATGAAAAAATTAAGAGATATAGAGTGCCGAACTAAAAAGAAGTAGAGAATAAGTAGAATAGTTTGAAAAACTAAAGAATCCCGTTTTCATGGATAGCCGAACTAAAAAGCAGTATAAATAAAATAATGAACGTTATTTGATAAATATTTATGTAAGAACATTTTTTCTAGAAATAATGTTATGGCAGAACAACGTTTGCCGGGTCAGCTAGTAGACAACAAAAATACAAAACAAATAAAAAAATTAAACTTAAGGAACAAGCTGTTATAACAGAGGTATATAAAAAAATTGAATTTGATCTGAATCAGAATTGTCCTTTTTTGGTTTATACATATCATTAGTACCTATACCTATATATGTACATTTATTACTTATTTTGTAAAATGAAGATTAATAGAGCGTGCCGAAATATCATGCAATTCATAGTTGTATGTGATTGAAGATTAAAATGTGATTTTTTGTAGAGGTCGAAACAATTATTTTAAGATATTCCAGAGCCATATATTTCAAGATATACTTTTTTCTAAAAATGACAGGAAAGGTCCATTGAGTACTCAACTGGATTACTGTTTCCCTTCCCTGCAAGCCTGCTAAAAGTGGAGACAAAGTGAATTATATCATACCGGCAATCTTCCTTCGCCAGATTGTTGCCTCTTCTTGTACTATTTTTTTTTATTGTTCAGATTCCACATTCAAAGCTTACCTACCAAATCTTCTATTGAGCAATAGACACTGGACCGTAGATTTCATGGTCGAGTCAGTATGGTGGTCCTTCAAAGAATGGAGTCAAGACACCAATGTTTCCAAGTTAATGCATATTTGGGGCACCCCACTATATGTCGGTATGGGAATCGCCAAATTCAGTTCTACGCAAGTTGAAGAACTGAGATTTGAATGTGTTCTCGATGTGGTCCAGTTGGAGTGGTCGCTAGAATTGGCCGATTATGTTTTGTTAGCGCTAAGGTTAGTATAAGAACATGTTCCGATATTCCCGAACAGTACTGCATAGTATACCGTCAAACGCGGTTACTCCAGACACTTTTGAGACATTTTTACGCATGATTTTCACAAAAAATTTGCAATTTTCACAAGAGCGTCTTATAGATTATTAGGTAGGGCCTATACCGTTCTTGAGATATCGAACAATCCATTTTTTTTTGTTATAAATCATTTTAGGGGTGTTTACCCTTAGAATGGGGTAACTTGAGACAGGCATGAAAAAAGTCGAAAATTGCAAGTTATACTTTACCCAGGGTAAGTAGTTATCCTTATACATATTTTGGAGAATTTTTGGAAAAATATGATAAATTGGGCTGAGAAAAGGTAATATACAAGTTTCATAACAAAATGACCTCAAATTTACTAATGAAAAAAAGAAAAATGAGGTTTTCATTTCCTTAGAGAAATAGTATTCTCTAGCTCCAAGTTGTCTTCACTATCAACAAGGCATGTCTCAATTCACCCTGAAGAAGTCGAATTTTCGATAAATACCTGTACAACTTCTTTAAGACACTGATTTGAGGTTATTTTTCCACATCATTTTATTGAACAGATATTGATTGAGGCCACAGGACTTTCATTTTATGAATAAATTAATTCGTTTTCTCACCGTCCCTGAGACAACTTTGTTGTTTCTATAACCATGAAATATACGATTAGATCCCAGCTGAATTTTTGTAAACAATACAGTGACACTATCCCAATAACCTACTTACTACCGTGTATGGTGTATCTGTCTATGCGAACAGGAATACAGCAAAACAACTTCAGAAAATTCATCATAGATGGTACTAGGAGATCGTTGATATCGTTGATATTGCAGTTTGTCTCATGTTATCCTTAGTGTCTCAAGAAACCCCGTTTGACGGTATTTCATCGTTCCGATTGTTATACACACGGTATAACCTAATCGGATGATAGTTGGTAATGACGAGTATGATGAAACACGGACAGTAGAAATATAAGGGCCGGTTGCATAAAAGCTCATCAATTATTTGATGTTACTTCAAATATTTGATGCTACGTTATAAATGAAATTCGATTGCATGAAAGGCCCATCATGTACTTAATGACATGGTTACTAAATCATCTGATTAACTTATAATAATGACTATTTAACTAAGAAATCGGTTGCACAAAGGCCAATCAACTTTAGATGTCACATCAAATCGACTTATTCGTGGCATCAACTTAATCAGTGCTCGACCACTGATTAAAGTGACGACCAGCAAATGACTTGTGAGAGTTCCGCCAAATTATTTAGAATATTTCGCAGATTTTTTCTTCTTAGTTCTTGTTTCATTTCAAAATGGTAGAGTAGGTAAATGAACACAATAATGTAAGTGAATGACTATTATAGGTTTTACAGAAAATGTCTATCTCTTCACTGTCTTCACTATCTGAAGAAGAACTACTGATTTTCAAGTCAAGAACCTTTCGAAATAGAAACAATCCGTTCAAAATGTATGATGGCAATGATTTCAATACCTTATTCAGGTTTTCTGTAACTTCTGTCAATCTGAATGTTAATCAAGCAAATAAACCTAACCTAAAATGCGTATCAACAATGCGCGGAACGCAAGGAGCAGACAGATTTAGCGCTGTTGCCACGCTCTTCTCGTCATTAGTAAATGGAATGATTATTATAACATCAGATTGTTTATGCAACGCAAATGACATTTAACATAACATCAAAGTTATTGTGGCATCAGTTGATTGTATGATTAATTTTTCTTTATGCAACCGGCCCTAAGAGTCGAGTGACAAGGTTGTAAAGGTGGCGGTGTTAATAAAATAAGCGTTGTTAGTGGTTGAGTGTGTCTCATTACTCGACCCTTACTCGATTTTACTGAAATTTCCTGGCAACGTTTTCGCGGGTCATTGCAAGGAACCCTATTAAAGGTTGAGGGCCGGTTGCATCAAGGCCCATCAATTATTTGATGTCACTTCAAATATTTGATGCGAAGTTATAAATGGAATTCGATTGCATGAAAGGCCCATCATATACCTGATGGCATGGTTACTTAATCATCTGATTAACTTATAATAATGACTATTTAACTAAAAAATCGGTTGCACAAAGGCCATTCAACTTTAGATGTCACATCAAATCGAAATCGACTTATTCATGGCATCAACTTAATCAGTGCTCGACCACTGATTAAAGTGACAACCAGCAAATGACTTGTGAGAGTTCCGCCAAATTATTAAAAGTTTACTGCTGGCCACTGGTGCAGAAATGGTGATGGTGCCAGTATTCATGAAATGTTCAGTTAAGCGTTTGAATGGTCATATTGGTTAGATATATGTCGATAAAAATTATAAATTATTACTTTCAAATACTTTGGGAAAATGTATGAATTCTAACTGGCAGATGTCAACGGGGCAGTAGACGCTGAAACTGCGCCACTGATCTACAAGGTTTGTTATTGAATAAATATATAAATAAATATCTGGAGCGCTCGAGTATTTCTTCGTGACTGTTTTTTACATTTTTAAAAACCTGTACACGCTTCCCCACCAGTGAAAGGGCATACCTCATGTAAACTTTTTTCTTTTTAGGATCTAATCTTCATAATCTGATAGGTCCCCACGACGCTTAAGTAAATCCCTATTTAGCCTCTTTGCCTCCTCTACTATAAGTCACGACATCATTCTCGAACGCAACGGGTTAAACCATAGATCATCTACTCTCTATGGATGTCCAACGTACATGTTAACCTCTTGTTTTATTTCGCCGGGGCCTCTGGTGTTTGGTAGCTCAACTATTTTGAGTAGCGGGAATTTTGAATAATCCATATTATGTTGAATTCAAATATTTCACTCAAGAGAAGCCCTAGTGAAATATCGAAGGATATGAAATGTCATGAGCATTACATGCTTCCATCTCTTGTCTTTCAACCATTCACAGAAACTGGAATGAAAATTATGGTCAGTAAAAATGAAAGCAAAGGATTGAAATGAATCATTTTTTAATTAGGTCATAAAAACTGTGATAAAATGAAACAATCATTACAGGATCTTCAATCACTTTATTCACTCTAGAAACCTGGTTAGTTTTTCTTAAAATTTGAAAAACGATGTCTAGAAGGTCCTGGCACTGCATGCTCAATGGGTGTGACTTCGCAATATCGAAACTTCTTTCTCCGTCCCACTTATTGAGCAAATGGAACAAGAATATCTTCGTAGTCGTTTGAATTAACCCTATCAAACCCGGTATCGTTGAATTCTTCATGATAATCCATAACCGATTATGGAATAAAATACAGGGTGTCCGATAGAAAAATCAAAAGTTAGGGTCGTTTCTGGTGAGACCGGAAGTGATTGAACAAAAATTGTTTTGTCAATTAATGAACAATTCGGTATACTTGCTACCCACCAATTTTCGAAATCCGATATAAAATGACTCCCTTGATATCTAAATAGCTATTACATGTTTCAAAACGCCATTTTGTTAGACATAAAATTGTGCAACTTTACCAAATTAACCGACAAACATTCTTATACAATAAATAACTATTATTTCAGATGTTTCAATCAGTATGGAAAAATCCAGTTGACAAGGCCATCGCAATCTAAGGAATTAGAAATAGACCGTCCTGGAATACTGTCTATACATTTTGTTATTTCTCACTTCAATACATTTTTGCAGTCACAAAATGGAGGTGAGATATCTTATATTTTTATTGCACTCTGAAAACAAAAAAGCAAGAGTCTCTCTTTCCTTTGAATATAATGCAAGTTTGAGAGTGAGGAAGAAGGAGAATTTTTACATGGGTTTAACAGTATCCTCATCCAATTGTATTTTTCGTTTCAGAATATTTTGTATCTCGTTTAAATACGGTGAGCTTAGACAAAAATCAAAATACGACAGATGTTAAATTCGAAGAGTTCAAGACTTTCAGTTTGACCAATACTGGAGATTATTATACCTGTATCCGAACTGAAGACATTTCGAATTATAAGGCGTTCATCAAGACAGCGCATCTCGAGATGACTGACAACAAGGAAAGATTGAATGACATTTCTCTCACTCTGCTAGACACAATCGTTATGTACTGGTCGACTAATTTACATATGAAATATCTGCTATTGGCTAGAGACATTGCTGATTTTCTAGGGGGAGTGAAAAGTGAATTGGGGATCGAGATCAAAGAGGTTGCCAAGAAGAAAGGTGTCAGGAATTTGAATGTATATGGGAAATTTGAGTTCCATATCGATATTAGTCAAAACCATAACGCAAAAATAGTTTTAGGTGAGTCCAACTCAGGAATGATTGAAGGGGGGGCATACAAAATTATGGTCATTCAAGTCAGCAAAGCCGGATTTTTTATACCTTTGAACTTTTGATCTTCTGGATATTTTCGATTTTCCTCCTTTTGCTTCAATGGAAGATTGATAACTATATTTTGACACTAATTGAAATTTTCTCTCAAAAAATGACAGGTGATTCCTCATTCTAATCGTTTTTGTCATGCAACAGAAGTCAAAATAATTTTTCATAGTGGAATCTCTACATCCCCATTCTTATGAATTATACTGATGCTTGATGAATGCCAAATCCTCATCACTAAATGTTTAATAAGAGTTGAGTTCTTTAACTATACCTACTTTATGAAAGTCTGATGATTTGACATATTTGGACTAGTATAGATACACTCGTCTTCAGCAAACATGTCTCTTATTGCAGCGGTGATCAAGGGAGATGACACCGTCCATGTGCGACATGATCACTGAAGACGAGTGTACCTCTATATTATTGTCGCAGGCAAAAAATAACCCCATGGGGTGGAGAGTGGGGTTGTGGAATTATTAGTTATGTAATTCGAAATATATACCAGATGTCGATGTCTTTTCACGGCTCTCACCCACAACAGATTTTTTTATTCTGTTGATGATCATAAAATGTCACACTAATCAAAATGACACACATGAGAATTTTTTATTATGATCCTTTGACCATCTCCGCCGAATCCGCTTTTGGAAAACTTCAATATATTACAATCCAAAAAAAAATGCCTATCAACTTTTAATCTGATATATTTATTTTATCCTTCTATCCTGCCATGAATGAACATTTTTTGGTAGCAAACTAGACTAAGTTAGTTTAGAAGTTCATACTGCTCAAAGTGAAGTGGTAGTGTTTGAAGAATACATCTCAAAATCATCTCCACGACATTCAATAGTTGGGGGATATGTTTCGGGCCTATAATGAGTCTATCATCAGGCGAGGTTCAATGACATCATGAAGAAACTGTTCTCAAAAGTTGTGAAACATATTCGATTTATGAAATGAACAGGTATTTTTATTTCAAGAGTGTCAAAATCAAATCTGCAAATGTGGATTTTTCGAAAATTTCCGAATAATTTAGTATTTCACCTCATGAATATCCCTGAAGGTATCTCAGAGGCAACAGTCCCCGCTTAAAATGAAATTACCTGTTCAAAATAAAAATGTTTCGTGTATTCATTGATTTTATATATTTAATGTGTTTCACAACTTTTAAGAACAGGTTTTTAATCCTCATGACGTTATATAACTTTGGATAATAATGGACTTATTATAGGCACGAAAAATACTTCCCCCCCCCCTCCTAATTGTAACAAAACTATGTTCAACTATTAAATGTTTGGAGATGATTTTGAGATTTATTCTTCCTTCTAAGTTCGTATTCATAAACGAGGAAATTAAATTATTGTTTTGTAATAGAAGTATATCAATATAAAAGTGATATCAGTTGATATGGTGACACAATATTAAAATGTGATTTGAGTTCATCATCCCCAAAATTCTCTAACAATTTTTCTTTAATGTAGATGAATTGATTATAACCAAAAAGACAGAAGATATCAAAGAACCTCCAGACATTTCTCTAAATACTTCTGTGAACATCCAAATAGATGGCGATGATATTTTTACCATAAAAGGAATAGATTTACAGAGAATAAAATCACATCCCTTTATACAAGCAGAGAGATTGGATACAGATAATTTTGTATTGCCTTTCAACAAAACTTGGGGTGTCTCTATCGATCTTTTCAAGGCTGTATTTCCCTATGAGCACAATTTTGACGAAGCAATCAAGAATCAGCTCTTATCTGTTATCAAATGGCTGAAGATAGTCCATAACTTGAAGAAAGACAGAACTCAAGATGGGCCGTTGCCCAGTGATGTACTGATCAATGTAAGTAAACAGAATAATGGAAATGACAAAATTTTTCAACTTTCTTTAATTATTAGTCTTGATGAAACTGATGAGGTTTGATGGCCCATATCTATACTATATCCATTTGCTAAAAAGTAATCCTAAATAGTAAAATAGATTCGATTGTACACTGAATAAAACTCGAATTGTTTCTAAATGTCCGTTCTTATGCCATGGACAATGAAACATTACTTAAATGCGCATGCTCAATTGGGTTGGTTATGGAGTTCGACCTTGATAACATTTGAAAAGTCGTTTTCTAGATTTTCTGTTATTTCATTAATTGTCTTGTGTGGTGTTATGACTGTGATGTGATTGTTACTCTTCATGAAAAAGTTTCATGAGGAAGCAGTCCATAGTCCATTCCAACAAAGAAACCAGCATAAGAAACCATAGGGAAGCGTTGACCTTTGCTTAGATTGGTTAACATTGAAGGTAATATTACATTACTTATGTGATGATCTACGACGTGAAGTTAAGGTTAGGTTTCCTTAGTAGGAAAATGACGAAAATTATCAGATTATCAAATTCAATTTAATGTTTGTATTATTGGGTGGTACAATAAATCCTGAGTGTGGAGTGGACCTTGATCATCAACATGGCCATGATTTAGAATAAGGATCATATTCCTATTTAGCTAGCCTATCAACATCACATTAGAGGTAGTGCCTCCTACTTCCCTCTTTTTGGATCAGTCCAATTACAGGGATATCCGAAATTGCTGTCAGTGCTAGGTCAATTGGGGATCATCTATCACCTGCGTGATATGATAACTGTGCAAATAAAAGTGAGGTTAGACATACGTTCTCAATGTTTTTATGAAATACAAAGACATCATTGAGACATTTTATTAACTGCCATTAATTAATTACCTCGAATAAGTTCTGTAACTCCGCTGAGATGAATAAATATTGACAGCTGGTATGACAGTTGGCTCGACCGAAATGAACTCATTCATTTGTCCTTATGCACAATATAAGGGATGAAGGACCTCAATCGGGGTCGAAGGCCAGTTGGTATGTACAGTGTGTCCAGTTTTCGATGCTTTTGTGTGATATCTCAGTTATCTTTCGAGATAGAACCTTGCGGTTTTCGCGGTCCTGTACCACTTTTCTGTGAAACTCAAGATGCCCTAATCAGATTTCGCATAACTGTTTGCGTTTATGAGATACAGGACGATTTTGAAAATTTATATTTTTGGGACCCCCTCTATATCTACGAAATTTCTCAGCGAGAATGTCAAATTGGAATCTTATCCCATACAGAATTTTGCGCAGAATTCAGTGGCGCACTCGAAAGTTTTTTTCCGGGTATGGTTTCGGAGATACAACTCAAACTTATGATATTTCAAATGGAACACCCTGTATTTTATAAGCTCATTAAATTCCTTATTTTTTCCCTATCAAAATGAAATATGATGAATATGTATAAAATTTTCAAAAATGCTCCAAAATCACTAAAACATTGAATTTTAATAGTGGGCTATGGATTTTTCATTTAAAAAAAGTTCCAATTGAAGAATATTTTAATTGATTCTTCCATGAAAATGGCAAAAACAATCCCAACACTAGTTAATTAAGATAACACAAAAATTAGGTAGCTGATAGCAACAAATGAATGGTAATAAAAAGTTCATATTCTAGAATAAGCACCTGATTTAATATTCACTAAGACAATTGAATTTCGAAATTAATCAGTAACTTATTCATTGAATTGTTCAAATTGATATCCACTTTCCCTCACATGCTTTCTCAATACGTCTTAATGCATTCAAAATCATTAAAGGATGTCTTTGTAATTCCTGGAAAACTGCCTCTGTTGTTGCACGAAGTTCTTCAAGATATTTGTGACTCTTACTGTATCAAGACGTATTGAGAAAATGTGTCAATTGTGTGTTATGGAAAATGGACATCAATTTGAACAATTCAGTGAATAAGTTATTGAATAATTCCGAAATTCAATTGTATTTGTAAATATTCAATCTGGTGCTTATTCTACATTATGAAATTTTTATTACTATTTATTTGTTGCTATCAGGTACATAATTTTTGTGTTTTCTTAGTTAATTAGTGTTGGTATTGTTTTTGTCCTCTTTATGGAAAAATCAAAATGAATATTTCTTCAATTGAAACTTTTTTATAAGAAAAATCCATAGCCCACAATTAAAATTTAATGTTTCAGTGATTTCAGAGCATTTTTGAAAATTTCATATAGATACATTATTAATCATTTTAAAGAGAAAAAATAAAGAATTCTATGAGCTTATGAAATACAGGGTGTTCCATTTAAAAAAACATAAATTTGAGTCGTATCTCCAAAACCTTACCCCGAAAAAAAATTTTGAGTGCGCCACTGGATTCTGCGTAAACTTTCATATGGGATGAGATTTAAATTTGACATTTTTGCTGAGAAACTTCGTAGATATAGAGGGGGTCCAAAAAGAATAAATTTTCAAAATCGCCCTGTATCTCATAAACGGAAACAGTTATGCAAAATCTGATTAGGCCATCTTGAGTTTCACAAAAAAGTGGCACACGATCGCGAAACCCTCAAGGTTCTATCTCGAAAGATAACTGAGATATCACACAAAAGCATCGAAAACTGGACACACTGTACATACATACCAACGAAGTGCATATTACACTACTCACTTTACAAGTCATATAAATGTAATGTATAACAACTGGATATAGACAAATACGAGATAGATGAAAGAAATTAGGTATAAATTGATTCCATAAACTGACTATTTAATTTTTTTGTGAAGGAATTGAAATTGATAATATATTTTTTCCACTACTAGCTATAGAACCTACCATTATTTACTCCTTCCCAAGGCAAAAAGTGTGTTTTTACTACCACGGTAGTTTTCGTCACTTTATGAACCACTAGTCAATAAAGACATAGTCACCTCTGTTATAATTAACCCGAATTCATTGTTCTGATGCGAGATTCGCAGGAATGGCACTCGAATTTAGTAGCTATTAATCAATAATGACTTGTCATATGCTGTCATGGTCATGACTACTCGATTTTAATTAGAATTGAAAAGAAGAGCTTTCATAGTTACGAAGGTCCATATTTCGTTTTGACAGAACTATAATGATTGAAATATATTGCCAGTAGTGGAAAAAATTTAATATACACCTTTGCAGTAAAGAATGTTATTACCACTGGACCCTATACCCCTCGGGTTATAATGTTGGTCCCTGGGTAATAATGATATTATTTACTACCTTGGTGTATAAATAAATATTTTTAGGTGAAAGAATTTTTATTTGAAATGGGTGATGATCCGTTCGAGGTCAAACTAAGAGATAACTTTGAACTACTAGAAGACGAATACAATGAGAGCTTGAAGAGGCAAAAAATGCTTAAGGAAAAGGTAATAGAGAATATTTTTCTACAGTGTGTAACATCGTTCATTTTAATTGGAAAATAACCCATAAAAAAGCATCCAAATGGATGTTTATACTACTCGTTATTGTGGAAACTGACTTCTTCATTTATTTATTCAGTTCTTAATACAACCTCAGCTATAAACCAATAAATATAGCAGTTTTTTATCTTCACAAAATTGTGTAAAAATCAGATATTCAGTAGTATAAGTACTTCAAAATATTCAGGTTATACGTCAATAACTTGTTGCATAATGACAAAGAGTGTCAGCTTAACAGATGAATTATTTCAACCGCGAAGTGGGAGGATTTTTCTGTTAAACTGATACGATTTGTTATTGTGCAGGAAGTTGGAGATGTATGACCTTGAAGATTTTGAAGTTCCATGCAATAATTTTTTGACTAGTTCTGAAGGAACGTCAAATATGACGACGCGCTTTGTTTGGATGGCCCAATATGAATGACTAATTATGGAAATGGAAATAATTCTAAATTTCTGATTGAGGGAACTAATCTATGTTTATCTGAGTATATTCGAAATTATACAAGGCAGCTAAGCTCAATTGAACGTTTTGATTGGTTTAGAATCATACGAAGAAAACAATCATGTAAATGCTGTCATTGTCTACTACTGAGAAATATGACTGGTAATTGAGATATAGGGATTGGAAGTTCTTTCGGAGTTTCTTGAATAATTCAGTATTCTGGAAATGGAATTTTTTAGCACATGTCGTTACAAGGTGAGCTAGCTGGTATTTTTGCTGTTTGAGCGCCGTTTTCACGCAACAATAAAGTCTTCCATTAAAAAAAAAGGGAATTTTCGACCGTGCATCATCCATTTTCAGATTGGCGGTTTACTGAAAACACATCTCCACATGCCAGCTGGAAAAGTCGAAGAATTGTATGCCACACTGAAGAAAAGAAATGCAGAAATATATGTTCAAAGATCTAAGCTGATGTACAAGGCAGCACCACCTCGCACAAGACTGTTTGCTTGGAATATGACCAACGTTGAAATACTGGTAAGTCCAAAACTTTCAGTTGGTTCGTCAACCAGTTCACTAAACTCTTTGGGTATCAGGTAACTCAAATGGACTGCTAGTAACTCTGTTATATCGAAATAGTAGTCTCATAATCTCTTGGAAGGTATTCTAGTTAGTTCAGTCAATAAACGGGTGTAGAGGACATGAAAGATGACAATTTTTTTGAAACTGTACGTCACAGCAAAAAAGTAAATTCATTCATCAAGATCAGAGTTTATGCCAGTATACTTCTCACATTCCAATTTTCATTTCAATGCTGAATATATTGGTAAGTTATATTTCTATATCATTATACAACATATTATTCATCCGATTTGAAGAAGAATGTCAATTCTCAATTTCGGAGGATTTTATTTTTCATTTTTCATGTTCTCCTTTTGAATGTTCATCAGATATAATTCAATGTTCGACGTGGCAAATAGCCAGGAAAGTAGTTGGTTTCTGTTGAATATTCAGAATGATGTGTGCATATACATATTTTTGTCTGAAGGAGAATGCAAATTCTCAATTTCAGAAGTTTTTTTTTTATATATTTTATTTTCAAACTCTTATCGTGTGTGTTCAATAGATATAATTCAATGTTTGTCGTGGCATATAGCCAGGAAAGTAGTTGTTTTCTATTGAATAAACTGAAAAAGAGTAGATATTCTCATCACATAGAGAAAACGAATTCTAAATGTAATGCTTCATATTAATATATATATATCCATTTTTGTATGTACATAATTCATCTGAGAATATTCCTTTTCAACACTTTCATACCCAATCAGGGGGTTCAAACTTGAACGATGGAAACTTGTGATTTTTATAGACCTCTAATCGCAGATTCGTGATAGAGTCTCAATTCAGAATTTCTTTCCACGCCCTGTATGATGAATGTCAATTTATCATACATCCAAAAGCATAAACAATTATTGTTTATTATTTGGTGAAATGATATTTATGAATGATGAAAACACAATTTATCAAACAAATTGTTGTATATTTGAATGCTACCTTATAACCGCGAAAGTATTTATGTTGGTAGTCTGGACTTTCATTGTTGTCAATGTTGTCATTGTTGTCAAGTGACGAAATAGGAAGGGGTATTGGAATTATGCACATTTATATTCATTCATTCATTGATTCATCTCACATACAGATGACATACACTGTTCGGTAAATAAAATGCCAGTTAATCATTCTCGAGCAATTTATTTCTCTCCACCGTCAAGACATACATAAGGGTACATACACAACAGTTGGCGACGAGGCAGACGAATCTGCGTTACAATCGGCCGAAGTTCAAGAGTGAATACGAAAAACGGAGTGAGAGGTTACGTACGGCACGTGTTCGTGCTACATACAGTTGCAGCTTTGGGAATACAGTACACCCAAACCGGCAAGAAACATGACTGAAGTCAATCATTCAGTCTATACAGTATTTTCAATCGAAAATTTCGACACCTCAAAAAGGTTCGACAGGTGGCTCATGCGCCTGGAAAGTGCTTTCGATGTTTTCGCTGTACCAGACGACAAGAAGGCAGCATATCTATTACATTACATGGGCCCCGAAGCCTATGATGTCCTGTGTGACAAAATTTCACCAGATGAGCCAGGTGTCAAGACGTATGCAGAATTAGTGAACACTATGAAGTTGCACTATAATCCAGAACCACTAGAAATAGCGGAAATCTACAGATTTTTACAACGAAGGCAGCATGAAGGTGAGAGTGCCAAAGAATATCTCACAGCCTTACAGGGCCTTGCTACAACATGCAAATTTGGAGAATATTTGAAGAAAGCACTAAGAAATCAGTTTGTGTTTGGTCTCCGAGCACAAAATATTCAAAGCAGACTACTGGAGCAGAAGGATTTGACAATAGAGAATGCATTGAATATTGCAGTTGGCATGGAAACCTCTGCAAGGGATGCTGCTCAACTTCATCGTCCAGCAGGGGGGACTAGTGTACACAGTGTGGGTGCTCATAGTGTACAACGAAAGTCAAATTCATGGGCCAGTAATCATGGGCAAAAGCAAAGAGGCCAACTCTCCTGCCAAGTGAATTCTCACAAAAATACTGATAATACATTTTGTTTTAGGTGTGGATCCCCACAACATTTGGCTCACCAATGTAATAAACGAAATTTAACTTGTTCCAAATGTAATCGGAAAGGTCATTTGGGAAAGGTATGCCTCAAAAATAAAAATGATAGTAGATCTACACATCAAATGGAAGAAGTTCAAGTTGATGAAATTCTATCAATACATACAGAACATCCACAGCTGAGAGAGAAGTTCACACTCACTCTGGAGGTAAACGAGGTAAGAGTTTTATTTGAATTAGATTCTGGTGCTGCAGTTACAATAATGAGTTGCATTGATTCACAAAAATTATTTCCTACGTTGCAATTACAAGAGACTGATACAAAACTTATCACATACAGTAAGAACCCTTTAGATGTGCTTGGTTTAATTGAGGTAGAGGTAAAGTACCAAAATATTACAAAAAAATTGAATTTATACATTGTCAATACTGACAAACACCCACTTTTAGGAAGGGAGTGGATGAGAATGTTAGGTATAGGGTTCAATAATACTCCTGAAATTACATATCTAACCACTCAAAGTAGATTAGATGACCTTTTACAAAAGTACAATACAATTTTAAAAAAAGATTTAGGCAAAATCACAGGTTTACAAGCTAGTCTCAAACTCAAGAGTGATTCACAACCCATTTTCATAAAGGCTCGCAAGGTACCCTATGCATTGTTGCCCAAGGTGGAAAAAGAACTGGATTTTCTAGAGAAAGAAGGGGTGTTGGAAAAAGTGGAAAGTTCTGAATATGCAACTCCAATAGTCCCAGTTCTTAAAGCCAACGGCAATGTGCGCATATGTGGTGACTTCAAATGTACATTGAATAAAAATTTAATTGTGGATGAGTACCCTCTACCCACTATAGAAACGTTGTTTTCCTCAATGGCCGGTGGAGACAAATTTACAAAAATAGATTTACAACAAGCATATCTTCAAATGGAAGTACGTCCAGAAGATAGGAAATATCTTACTTTGAGTACTCCAAAGGGATTATACCAGAGTACGAGATTAATGTATGGGGTGGCCAGTGCACCTGCTATATGGCAGAGGGAAATAGAAAATATTCTAAAAGATATACCGGGCGTCTCAGTTTTCATTGACGATATCAAGGTAACAGGGGTTGATGACAATTCCCATTTCGAACATCTAGAAGCCATCTTCAGCAGACTGGCAAAGTACAACATTAGAATAAACTATGAAAAATGTCAATTTCTCACAAAAGAAATAGAATATTGCGGGTACTTAATTGACAAAAACGGCATTCATAAGTGTAAAAACAAGATGGAGGCAATTCATGATGCCAAGGTGCCATCTAACAAGTCTGAAGTTCGAGCATTTGTGGGGCTAGTAAACTATTACGGACGTTTCCTTGAAAATCTCAGCAATACGTTACAGCCAATATACAATTTACTTAAAGATAATGTGAAGTTTCATTGGGATAAGAGATGTCAAAGCGCTTTTGAAGCAGTTAAGACAGAAATAATGTCAGACAGAGTCCTAGCACATTTCGACCCTGAACTTCCTCTGATTTTAGCAACTGATGCTAGCCCATATGCAGTCGGAGCCGTGCTGTCACACATTTATCCTGATGGAACAGAGCGCCCAATACAATTCAGTTCGCAAACATTGACCAATGTGCAACAAAAATATGCACAAATTGATAAGGAGGCTTATGCCATCATTTTTGGTGTAAAAAAATTTTACTATTACCTTTATGGTAGACCTTTCACATTGTATGTTGATAATCAACCCCTTATACAGATTTTTTCCCCGGCCAAACATTTATCAACACTGACTACAACAAGAATGCAACATTATGCACTTTTCTTACAAAGCTTCCAGTACAAAATAAAGTATAAAAATACAAAAGCACATGCAAATGCTGATGCTCTTTCAAGGTTACCCTTGAATGTAACTACTAATTTTCATCATGATATATCCGACCAATTTGAAATTTTTCAGATAGAAAACTTACCAGTTTCCTCCAAGGAATTGGCGAGTGAAACTGCTAAGGATCCTATCCTAAAAAAACTTTTAGAGGCCCTTCAATCTGGGGTTGAATTAAAAGCAAGGGATAGATTTAATGTTCCACAGCTAGAATTTTCATTGCAAAATGATAGTATATTCCGGCAAAATATGGCCGTCATACCAAAAGGGTTACAGCACAGAATATTAGAAGAGCTTCACAGTGCACATTTTGGTGTGGTAAAAATGAAGGCTTTGGCAAGGGGGCACTGTTGGTGGTCAGGTATATCACAGGATATAGAGACCCTCTGCAAAAGCTGTGTCGATTGCAACAAAATGAAAAATAATCCTAGCAAAGTGCCCATTCATCATTGGGATACTCCAACAGTACCCTTTGAACGAGTGCACATAGACTATGCAGGTCCATTCTTTAACTTTTATTATTTTATATTAGTAGATGCTTATACTAGGTGGCCTGAGATTCACATGGTACAAAACATGACGAGTCTCACCACCATAAACCTTTTGAGACAAATTTTTGCTTCTTTTGGCATACCAAAGATTATTGTCTCTGATAATGCTCAAAACTTCGTGTCCTATGAGTTCAAACAATTCCTACAAGAAAATGGAATAACTCACCGCTTGAGTGCACCATATCACCCAGCCACTAATGGTTTAGCGGAAAGATACGTTCAGACCTTTAAGCAATCACTTAGAGCGCTGAAGGGGGATAACCAAAATCGGCAGAAACAACTTTGTAAATTCCTATTACAGTATAGGAAAACACCACATTCTGGAACTGGTGTAAGTCCATCGTACATGCTTTTTGGTAGAGAAATCAGATCCAGATTAGATCTATTGCGTACAGAAAGGTCTGATAGAATAAATAACAATTTAGACGTACAGGGGAAAAAAATTCGTTACTTGAAAATAGGCGATAGGGTAGCGTGCCGTGATTATATCCATAATGACAAGTGGGAATTTGGTAGGATAAAACAAAAAATAGGTCATTTACATTATGTCATAGAGCTCGATAACTCTAGTGTCTGGAGGAGGCACATAGATCAGATTCAACTAATAGGGGAAAATACTCCGGTCATGCAAAAGTACCAGGAATCTCACCAGATACCTCAAATGAACTTAACACGTTCAAATCGTTCAGACAATGAACTAAATGAATCACCAAAAATTAATCCAGCAATATCTGATGAAGGAATTTATCCACAAATATCTGACGAAGTAGTAGCACCACCAGAACTCATTCAAACGAAAAACTCTTTTCCTACCTCTAGTGTCCCTGATGATGTTTCTCATACCTTGCCCAATGGACTTCCCGAACTGCGGAGATCCACAAGGATCATTAAACCTCCTGAAAGACTCAATTTGTGAGGGGAGAGTTGTTGTATATTTGAATGCTACCTTATAACCGCGAAAGTATTTATGTTGGTAGTCTGGACTTTCATTGTTGTCAATGTTGTCATTGTTGTCAAGTGACGAAATAGGAAGGGGTATTGGAATTATGCACATTTATATTCATTCATTCATTGATTCATCTCACATACAGATGACATACACTGTTCGGTAAATAAAATGCCAGTTAATCATTCTCGAGCAATTTATTTCTCTCCACCGTCAAGACATACATAAGGGTACATACACAACACAAATGATGTCCAATATGAAAAAAATTACGATCATTAAGTTTTCTCTCATAGTAAATGTTCAAGAATATTATTTCATTGAATAATAAACAATTGCTCAATTATCATGTTTGGTTTCATATAACTAATAATGCATTTAGAATAAGAGCAATTCAACTATGTTGGATGTACTTCGCACTGGATAATGTGTTAGACAATGACAAATCAATATCAGAAACGCTGTGTTAGACAAAGATGAGTACCATACCTATTATAAACATTTATCTCATTGAAGTAGATATTTTGAGTAGGTAATGTGTCGATACACCATCATATCAAGTAGATCGAAATCTATAGAAAAATGAAATAATAAGTCCAGGTCCGTATTTATAAAAATAAAGTTGATGATGGCCGCTCGAAGAAGAAACGTCGGATTTCCAATTCGACAATTCCATTTTGTAGAGGAGGAGAAGTGGTAACAAGGAAGTAATATTCATTTCGAAATATCTCTTCAAATAAACTGAGTAATAAATAAAAACGATTTTGCATATTTTCCGTTCTCACATATATTCCCGGAAATAATTGAAATTTCTACAATTTCAAAGCAGCATTTTGTTTAGCATAAAATGGTGCAACTTTGCCCTAATTTAACCTATATCTCTTTAGGTTACCGAGATCCCCATGCATAGCCACGAATTTGTAACACCCTGTACTATTTGTAATATAATCGATCTGGATATCAGTTAATATTGCATATCTTTATAAATTGAAATGAAAAATAAAAAAAGAAACCTGTCACAATGCCACTTGTTTGTACTAGAGTAGAGAAATATACTTGACACTGCTGTTTTGACGTTTTTTGTATATTAGAGTACGGACACTATGACAAGCACTGACAATCAGACGTAACCACGAATGTATTGATGGAAAAAGCGGGAACTGACGGTACACGGACGTACATGATATAAATTTCAAAGGTTTGACAAATTGAGAAAATTAGGAAAGATGCAAGTTTGTGCAGTTTCCAACTGTGAGAACACGGGAAATCAATTCACTCTATTCGAATTTCCATCGGATAACGTGATTCTACAAAAATGGAAACAGAATATGATGCGGCCGGCATGGAATATAGGTTCAGGCCACGAAATTTGCGAGGTATTCAAATTTCTTGGTAGGATATAGAACATTTTTCAACGCATTCTTATCAGGTACACTTCAGAACGGAAGATTTGATGTTGAAGAATAGGATCGTATTGAGAGAAAGAGCGGAACCCACAATTTATAAACTGAGCGAGTATCAAAAAGAACCTTATTCCAATTTAGAACCAACAAGAAACGAAGAACTTTCAGATAATGAAATTCATTTCGAAAATATTTTGAAAGAAAAAGACTTGAGAATCGAATTTCTAGAGCAGGAATATTCAAAAATCCAAGGTTTACGAGTGTAAGAGAGTGAGGAATTCAGGAAACAAATAGAAGAAAAAAATAGAGAGTTAAAGCAAAAAGATTTAGATACAGAAGTCAGAGTACTACTTGTGTCAATTTTGGTTTCTAGATTTTGGCAGATCCAAGTATACATGGCGCTGAAAACGTCATAAGGACTATGAGAGAAATTGATCATCACACACCGTGGCCCGAAGAACCCATGGAATTCTCCACGTTGTGGTGTAGAGTCGTATCTTTCAGGTGCGCGGAATGGAAGTTCCAGCTGAGAGATTTTCCACAGCCGCTGATGAAAATCAGGCAATGTTACATTTGCGGTCAATTGGTTGGAGCTGAACAAGTGTCCCCCAAAAGAGGTAAACTATATGCGATAAGTACTAGTTGATGGCTCCCCACACAGCACATCTACGTTGAATGTACAGGATGATTGATTATATTGTTACGTTATTCGGGTGGAGAAGCGAACACGACACTATTTATTTTCGGACTGATTCATTTGAACTAAAGAAATACTAATTTATATCGAACTTATAATTTATGTATAATGATTTATATCACGCGGTATATGACTGTCTCTCTGACACTCGCTGCTTGACTGACTGACGGCAGTTGTCCGGCCGTTTATATATGAGATCCCTTGGTAGGCTTTGCTTCTCGAACGTTCTGGAATGATCTTCCGTACCCTCCTTTTTGTTCTAGAAGCTTCTTAGATCAATACCTCTCTCAGTAATTGTTCCATCGATTGTTTCCAGAACATTCCAGAATCTTCTGTCACGTTATTTGTCACCGCGGCATATATTGAGTGTTCGGAAATATGCTGGTGCATGTAGGAATCATTAGGAGGTTGGAGAACAATCTGGGATGCGTGTTACAGGATGATCGTTGTACTCCTGTCTTCCTGATGATGTTTCTAGAGCCCCTTTAAGGGAAATATCATTAAAATATATTTCACGCTTTCAACACTCGACACCTGAAAAACTACTTGATATAATTGAAAATGAAATCTTTATTTAGATGCTGTTCTCTTTCAAATGGTGTCCTGCACACTTTATCTCCTCATTCTGTATTAAAATGATTGATTGTAATCTGGTAGGTACACAGTAGCAGATTCTTGCGACCAATATCCTCTCAGCTGATAATTCGTGAGAAGATTGAGATAGTTGTGTCGAGTATATCACCCTACTGGAAATTGCTGGAATCACAAGATTTCTTCAAATTATTGCTATCTGTCTAATGGTTCAGAAGGAAGGGGAAACCGTTTTCCACACCAAAGGTGCATTATATACATCTGGAAAGACTTCGCTCTAAACGACGAGTAGGAAAAAACGATGTTCAGGCAATTCGCAATGGTTACACAGAAGCAGTATCAGGATCAACAGGGCCATGAATTAGAATGTGCGTAATAAAATCTGAATTAGAAGACAAAAACTGACCGTTCCTATTCAGACTTTCTTAACAGATTCTAATTCATGGCCCTGATGATGAACGATTGTTTTGTCCAACTCGTCGTTTAGAGCGAAGTCTTTCCAGATGTATAAAGTTAACAGTCTATAGTGTGGAAAACAGTTTCCTCTCCATCTGAACCACTAGATAGAGAGCAATAATTTGAAGAAATCTTGTAATTCTAGCAACTTCTCGTAGGGTGATATACTCGAAGCGTTGAGCAATCATGTGTTAATCTATTGTGAGAAGTTTTTGATCTCCAAAAACCAATTGTGCGAAAATAACAGTCATTCTGTAATAGATCTGAGGTCTTGGATTGGTGATTTCTTAGTGACGTACAGATTGCTCTTCAGCAAACCAAATTATTTGAGGTGGCAAGTAGGTTTTATTTTGGAGGTTATCTGATATGTATTGACAAATTATTGTTGATAATAAGTTCATGTCAGTTGTTGGACTGGACTCCTCTTCTTCCTGCCGATGATTGGTAAATCAGAGATGAAATCCATGAATTCAGATGCATACCCAATAAGGTCCAGTATGTAGTTGAAGACGTTACTCATTAGGTCGTCTGTTATTGATAGGTTGGTGGATTTCATCATGCGACCCTAAAAGAGGTAACACATACATTCATTTTGTTGATACTAATCGGAACTACATTTGTAGAAACCAAACAAACTTAATCAAGTCGTATCGGAGAAAGTAATTTTTGAAAACAAAAAAAAAAGGTTGAATGGAATTCGTATAACAAACAAGTGTAAAATGAGGGTGTTTTTTGTATGCAAAAAAGCGTAATTTTGTTATAGTATTTTATGCAACTATCATGTAATAGCCATAACGTGATCGTGGCATACACTAATTTTCATGACCCTTGAATAATGAATAAACAATTCACTTCTTACTATTTATATTTCAACGTATTTCAACATCTTCAGTCCATGGACTGCCTGTACTTTTGATGCGTTGTGATTGAATGTCAATTGAAATTAAATGTCAAACAACTCAAGCAAGTATGGGAAACATAGACCCACTTGATTATACCCAAGTACAGGAATATGTGATTTCACGTTTCGAAACAGTCATGATCGATTTCTAAGAACACATAACCATCTAACAGCATTTGTAATATTGTAACCAACGTACGTAAAAAAACATAGAAAACTTGTCTTAGTCTACATAACTTTTGTACAGCTGGGAATTTTTTTCAATTTGTTTTGCTCCAGGTAGTTCAAGTGATACATTTTGATTCCAATAAAAAATACATATCGTTGGAAGATTTTTTCAAGTGAAATTGGTAGTCGAGTGATACTTCATTGAAAGAGTCTTTCAATTCAGAAAAAAAAATTCAAAACAAAATGGTGGCTGATAATGTTTGAAGTCTCAAACGACTCAAACGAATAATAACGTACTCTCGTCTAATCTTCAACTCTTTGTGCACCTAGAGAAGTTTCATTTGAAAAAAATATCTAAAGGAAGCCATCTTGAAGAATGTAGTGAATTCGAAATGGTATCTGTTTATTATTATTGTCTTCAAGATGGTTTCAATGCCAATAGAGAGCTGAAGATTCCAGGAGAGCACGTTGATAGCCATTTAGTCAAAATGATCCTGATATGAGATTCAAACATTATCATCGACCATTTTTTTTTTAATGAATATTCTCGTCTGAAATTCTGGTGACGTATAGAGGATTGAAAGACGCTCTGAATGAGGTATCACTCGACTCCTCATTACATGTAAAACATCTTACAAAATGGTGTCTATGTGCCAATTTGGAAAAAAAACAGGGTGTTTCAGAGTTGTGGTGAAAAAAGTCTATGGGTGATTCCTCTTAACAAAGTATGAAAAAAAGTTCATATGAACATGGGTCCAAAAATGTTTCGTTTCCAAGTTTGAGAAAAAAGTGAGTTTTTCATTAATATCTTGAAAACGCCCAGGCCGATCTGATTGAAATTTTTATGGTTTATTAACAAAATTATCAGCCATCTACTGGACTAATTAGACTTGATCCAAAATTTCCAGGGCGTACCCATCGAGCAAGTCATTTTTTTTGTAGAAAAAAAGTCATCTTCTGTTTTTTTTTTCGGGTTATTCTCAAATATGTTCTTAGATCCCATCCAGAGAAGAGCCATTCGCCTGCTGGGTGATGTACACTCACCAACTCTTCGACCACATTAGAACACCTTAGAAAAGTCGGCGACCTTTCTCATTTCTATGTACAGGGTGGGCCACCAGTAACGCCTCGGTCTCTAGAAGGCTAACCACTCATCTTGGAATTCTTTCTCTCTAGGAAGTTGCATGTCAACATAGGCTACCATTTAAAATTATTTCGAAACATACAGGGTGTCCCCAAAAACCATAAAACACTGAAGTTAAACTTTTTTCTATCGAACACCCTATTTATTATTTCATTTTGAGATTCTCCCTGATGAGCTGATTTCAACGACCCATCATACTTGGGGTCTAGCAGTTATAATTACTGGAATATAGGGTGTGAAAAATCGAGATTTTCCAAGTTCAAGAATTTTTTGTGTCGAAACTATTTATAATTGGTCAAAACGGCTTACATGTCCCTATCTCAACTTTTGAATAACTATCTACTGATATTTAATTGGGACATATACCGGGTGATCAAGATTCTGAATTCTGCACCACCCTGTATTTGTTTCAATTAAATGTCAGTAGATAGTTGATCAAAAGTTGAGATAGGGACATGTAAGCCGTTTTGACCAATTATGAATAGTTTCGACACAAAAAATTCTTGAACTTGGAAAATCTCGATTTTTCACACCCTATATTTCAGTTATTATAACTGCTAGACCCCAAGTATGATGGGTCGTTGAAATCAGCTCATCAGGGAGAATCTCAAAATGAAATAATATATAGGGTGTTCGATAGAAAAAAGTTTAACTTCAGTGTTTTATGGTTTTTGGGGACACCCTGCATGTTTCGAAATGATTTTAAATGGTAGCCTATGTTGACATGCAACTTCCTAGAGAGGAAGAATTCCAAGAAGATAAGTGGTTAACCATCTAGAGACCGAGGCGTTACTGGTGGCCCACCCTGTATAGATACTTCCACGGGAAATGTTCCTCAGAAATCTCTGCTCTTATTCCATCTTTAGCAATACGAGTCAGCCGAACTCGACAGCCCCTTGTCAGCACATCCTTTTGCTGTCAACCTTGAAAACTGTCGAACAACACTCTACTAAAACTCGTACGAATATAGAACGACGAAGCTTTGGAATTCTTTGCCAATGGAACACGCAGAAAAAAGTATGGTACAAACGACTAGAATCGCTGTATATCTTACCACGAAAAACGTTAAGAATAGTGACAAACTTTGCGCTCGTGCGCTCCAAGAGACAAAGAATCATATATCTATATAAACCCACAAAGAATACAACATGTCTGTCTCCTGCTATTTTTTCCTATCTTGCTTCATTTACGAGAAGAACGGGCAATACCATATAGTAGGAGAGCCGGATGCAGATTTCTACCATCATCTGATAATGAAATGATATATATCCCAACGGAAAATAAAAACATTGTAGTTAATCACACAAACTTGCTGACCTGAAGTGGTTGAGCAATGAAAAATGGAGATTCTTTCATGGTAGTTGTTTGTTTCATAATGTCATTAAACTTAAAACACCGATATACTTATACCGTAAACTAAAACATAAGCCACAAAGACTTTCTGATACCTAAACACAAAATATCCCTATTCAAAAGTTCATTCTCATACGTCATTTGTAAGGTTATGAATGCTCTGCCAAGAAAAATAAAATGTTGTGATATGAATCAGTTGGAAAAAAAAGTGAAATGTCTGCTACTGAAAGACAATTTTGTTATAGATTTCAAAATATAGAACATATACATATCCTGATGGAATAGGTAATTGAATATGAAAATAATT